AAACTTAATCAGTGGCAAAATATGTAATTTTATCACCTAACTCTAGTATGGGGAATGAATGCCACCACTACATTAAATTTATTTGCAAAAGGAAAATAGACAGTCCTCACCCAATGAATTCAAAAAGGATTTCAAAAAAAGAGAGACAGTAGGTCCAACATCAGCTTCCACATCATAAAGGGATCTTCTCATCTTGGGGCTGACAAGAATAGTCTTTACCTTCCTATTCCTAAAAAGCAGTTTCAATTGCAAATAGCCCAGTAGGTTCTCAGACAGAATGCAGTCTGGACAGTGTTAAGAAAAATACTGGAGTCTGAAGAATGCGAGAGTTTGTGTGTATTTTGCAGCAAACATTACTAGAAAGCCTAGATATATTATCCAGTTTTAGTAGAAAACAAACTTACTAATTTTTAGTAGTTTCCTTAAAGCCAATATATAAACAATTTCAGGTTTTATACTCTGCTTTGAGAAGCTGCTGGGCAGCTCCAGGAACACATGACTGGAAGTAAACAACTTGTCTAACCTGTTTCAGCTTAAAACTAATTAAGCTCATATCACTGTGCAAACACTTTCTGGAAAACTGCTCCTGAGATACACTGGTTTATCTGTTGGAAATGATCTTCTAATTTCCAGTCTGGATGTTTTTCATGACATTTCTTATTTGAACAAATACTGGTTTTAACTTTCATAATTTCTCTAAATTGGTACTATGTCTCATCTGATGCACTTACAGTAAATCAACACATTCCCCTCTCAGTTATTAAGTAAGTTGTTACGTTTCCTGTTCTTAAGATCTATACCTGGTGTCACTGGCTTTGCCAGTCATGAGTTCTGTTCCTCTAGCTCCCAGAGTGCTCCTGCTCGCACACACAACTCCACATCATTCCAACCAAATCACTACTTAATGCCCTGCGCTGGCACCAGTGCTCTGTGAAACTTCCCTCAGAGCAAAAGAGGAAATCCTGGATGCTCCTCCTTAGAACACCAAATTACTGCGATATTGGAGAACGGCTTCATATGTTACAAAAAAGGCCTTGGCTGTTTCTCACAATTACAGTGAATGGAATGCAATTATTCTCTACAGTAATGTATTCAGTACACTTGGAGGTCCTGCCGAACTGTGGAAGGAAGGTTACATCTCAAAAGCCAGCAAAACATTATTATAACTATGTACGCGTCGCTGAGATACTTCTCTGAAAATAAGTGATCAGAAAGTATTTAACTTATGTATCAGCATAAAGAAGAGTACATAAACAAGAAGAGTAATGTCTGGTGCTGTGCTTTGGTTTTGTGCCTGCTGAGCGGTGCTTGTACAGCACCAAGGCCTTTTTTTTTTCCCCACTCTCCCCACCCAGCAAGTGGGCTAGGGGTTCGCAAGGAGCTGGGAGGTGGCACAGCCAGGACAGCTGACCCACAATGACAATGATATAGTCCATTTCACAGAGTGTTATGTGCATCAGTAAAAGCTGGGGAAAGGAGGAGGAAGCATGGACTTTTTGTGATCATGGCATTTGCCTTGCCTAGTAACCACTGTGTGAGATGCCCTGATTTCCAGGAAGCGGCTGGGCATCTGCCTGCTGACGGGAAGCACTGAATGAATTTCTTGTTGTGCTGTTTGTGCACACAGCTTTGCTTCATTTATTAAATTGTCTTTCTCTGAACCTGTTGAGTTTTCTCACCTTTGTTCTTCCAAGTTCTCTCCCCCAACCCATTGTGCTGGGAGTGAGCGATCAGCTATATGGACACTTAGCTGCTGGCTGGGATCAACTCACCACAGTTAATAAAGTATTTTCAAATATGATAATATGCACATAGATAGTGGCCAGAGAGTTAAAAAGAAGAGATAATAGTTGATAAAATAGTTGATTAAATTGCGAAACAATTTCAACAGGCTGATTTAGCCAGACAATAACAATTTTTCCTTTATGACAGGGAAAGGATTAAAAGTTGAGATACATGTGAAATAAACAATAATTAAATGCACATGGTTTTCTTGCCTTCATATATGTATTATAGCTATGAAACTCCTATTTGGTACTGCAATATCTAAGAATGTACAAGTAAGTGCCAATATTTGACAAATCAGCATATATCTGTGCAAGAACGCAGGACATTTTTAAAACCTTGGGTAGATCAGGTACTATAATTTAGCTGAGTGTTAATGGACTTGTTATTAAAAGATTATTTCAAGTATAATTGAAAAGTATGTTTTAACTTTTATTCTTGCAGCTCCAACTATACATAAAAAGAAATAAAAATAATCAGAAGTTAAACTAGAAAGGAATCTATCTATAGATCCCTTTTCTTCCTGTAAGGAAAGCTTCACAGATTCTAAAGGTATGAACTGTAAATAGGGATGAACATTAAGTTTTCTACATTACTGCTTACTGGTCAACTTTATTAGGCTTCTCCTGATAATGTTCCATATTTGATAGCTTTGAAATAAAATAATATCATTAACCATCTACATTGCTCATCTGGAAAATGTCCTGAATGCTTTTGCTTTGAGGATGATAGGAATGGACAGATTAGATTCATATGTGCAAGTGGACCCAACAGTGAGTAGTATACAACAATACATTGCCTTTTTAACCAGTCTTAAAAAGTCTTTTACTTTCCCCTAACCACCAACCAATTAATTTGCCTACCACTTGCTGGCTCTGGGACAATGCTCCCATAACCCCCTCCCACCTAACTCAGTCATTAACTAGGTTAGGGGAGCATCTCCCTTGTAAATGAGTCCCCTAAGCATTGTTACTCTTTTTCCACCAAAGAGAGAGCAGAGCATACTTATTTTACTTCATACGCAACAGACAGCATTTCTCTTTAAATGTAATACATAATACATTAATTTTTATATCTTATTATATAAATAAAATCAAATAGACCCAAATATCACTGTGAATAGGTAAAAATATTTTTGCCTACACAGAAGTAACAGATAAGTGAAAGCTTTAGCATGTGTTAAAGAAAGGATCAATTAAAGTATTCTGGCACTCCACTTTATAAACTGATGATTCTGACTCTTTTTAAAAACTACTACTGTTACTGTCCTTAGTTTTGTTTGACACATCTCAGAAGGCAAATAGTAGAAACAGAAGACGTCCATCATAAACAAGAGGTCAAAATAATCAGACACCCATTCAGCTTGAACCTTAATTCGTGAGATTTATCCAATTTTAAGAAGCATGGAGAATCACCTAAGGACAGGGCTCGAGTTACTGCAAAGCTTGATTAGCCATAAGACCAGCTAGAATTGGCCTATCCAGTTGGAAAGCATGAGCAGACATACTTAAGCTGTGCTAAAAAGGAAGTCACCTAAACACAAGCTGTGTTGGAGACACTGGTCATTATGACAGATACTAGATTAGCAGCTCTACTTTATGATTGCAATGGGTTGAAATGATCTGTTGGTAGAGTGGTTTCAATAATAAATCCATGAGCTAATCATTAATGGCTTGCATAACGTCACTTCTAGATTAGAATTTCCATATCACGTAGAAGGGCAATGAATGGAGATATTTTCAAATTAGAAAGGATGATGACAATTATTGAGTAAAAAACAATAAATAAATAAATAAATAGCAACAATAGATGATATGAGAAATGCCTGAAATACAGAGAAGTACAGAGAAAGCATATACATGACTTCTTTCAAAACTCTATAAAGAGATCAAATGAAAAAATAAATGTTTCAGTACAACAGAGGAGATGAAACAGCCACAGAAAATGTTTCTTCTGCAAATCATAGCAGTACTCTTTGCTCCCTTTGATTCATAGCGATGACATCAACAAGAAGGGAAAATTCAAGAACCATCTTGAATCTAAGACTTTCTATGAGCGTATTTTTTAAAAGGGCAAACCACTTTATTTCTAATGAAGGCCAAGCGTAAGCATTCAGCAGAACTATCAGGGTAAGGAAAAAAAAACACCACACAGTACTGAATTGTCTGCCATTTAACACAGAAGTCACCATACTGGTACAGACCAGAAAGTCCATGAGGACCCACAGTCCATTTGGTAGTGGGCAACAGAAGACACAAGAACTGAATGGCACATTTTCAACAGCATTACCTTTTGGGCAATTGCATCAAGATTTTGGAAGACAATAGTTTGGGTGGGGAAAGAATTAATCATAGCAAAATTAAGAAAGATGACTAGAAATAGACTGTACAAATATTTTATATATGAAATGAAGACTTAAATGTTTAAGACTGCCAGCAACAAATTGAGAAAAAAAGCATAAAAATACCCATAAAAACATTTTTTACATACAAATTCTCACACTTTTGAAACTGTCACTCTAATTTCTAAATAAAGAAACGTTTCAGTTTAAAAGATGAGTGATATGACCATATTAGATATCACCAGGAGGATTCAGAATTAAGAATGGAATGTTAAACTTTTTTGCAAGATACAAGTTTTCCAGTTTTCACAAGGATATAAGTGGCAAACATTTAGAAATTTTTTTTCCACCTACAATTTTCTGAATTTAATGAGTATCAATTCAGCACCAAATATTGCTGCTTATCAATTAAGCAGTTACATTTTACAAGTAACAGAATGTTAAAATGTTAAAATAATTTAAATTAGTTAAAAACTATTAAGGAAACACTTTCTATTTCTAGCTACACCTGTCATGCCCTCAGTTGAAGATTCATTGCCACTTCAGTAAACATCCTTTAAGTTCTGTGCTATACAGCTGATATCTGCCTGTGCAGTATAGGCTTGCAAAGGTTACTAATTTCTGTTAAAAGCACTATCTAAGTGCAATATCAACATATATTCAGGTCTCAGACAGAAGGAACATACTAGGTACCTCAAAATTGGAACTGAAAACTGTCTTTCTATGGATCAAATAGACTAGACAAAAAGTATCTCTATTTAAAAAATCAATATTAAAAATAAATATTTAATTTCACCAGTAAAATCTATTTGTATTGAGTATTACAAAGTTAAAAAGAAAAATAGGGAAGTGCAATTATTTGCCAGATAATTACCTGTGTGCCAGCAGCATCCTGAAGGTCATCTGATTCAGTCCCAAATAACTTGGCAGCAACTTTGACCAATCCCAGTTCCATTCAGTAATGGTTGACTGTTGATACATTGCAAGAAGCTATTGTTAGTTATTAATCCATGTTAATATGATCAGTAAATTAAAGCCCCAGCTGTGATACACTAACCAAGAAGGAGGGGGGTCTAGAACAAGGACTTAGACAGATGATATCAATCATATCCACAGAAGATATTTTTTATTCCAATAAGACAGCAATTAATTTATAAATCGATTTGGGGATGTAGCCATTATTTATAAAAAGATACATCAATTTTTGAACTGTTATTTCTCCAGCTGTTAATGGCATTCTGCCCAACTACTTTGAGAGCTTGACTCTTTGTTTGAAAAGCAAAATAATTTCAACTTTTTATGTAACAGCAATTTACATTTTCTGCTGTCAGCAAAAAGTTTGTCATGAAAAACTTGGTATAGCTAGAATTCAAAATGTAACCTCTATTGCAATTAGAGTGATGGTTTACTCATCTATTGTTTTGTAAAGCACTCCAGCCACCAGATGGTTATTATAAACAGCAGCAAGTCTAGACAATATGAACAAATATAACTCCATATTGCTTATTTATTAAATAAAATCAATCTACAATAATGCTGGGCTGACAAAATACCACACACAACATTCTTATATTTACCAAACAGTAACTCCTTTTGCATATTATTGATTTTCATCAGTAATGGTCAAGTAGTGACTAGAATTCAACATACTTTGTAGGAAACAATTAAAAAAATTATTTCTGTAACACTAAACCAGAACTGAGTATTTTAAGGAAAAAAAAAAAAAAGAAAAAGTCAAAACAATGGAAATAAATCTAAATTAAAAATTGTATTTTGCAGTCTCATTTTACAGACAGCACTTATTCTTCTGGAAGAGCAGAATCAGTGCAATCCTTCCATTTTTATTTTATTCCCTTCCTTTTTAATTTAATTTTCCCCTTAATCCTCATCTTTGGAGTGCACGTAAAAGTAATGTAGAAAAATAAAGATGAAATACATAATAAGAAAGAAAGACAAGGGTGGCTAAAGAAGGAATAATATAGTGCGAAAGTGGAAAGTGAATGATGAATTAACAGTGAACATCTGATAAAAAAGAAATAAGGGGAAAAAAATCAACTGAGAGAACAGTGGGGAAGAGCAACATTGGGGAGAAAACAGGCAACTGCTCTATACACTACACTGAATTAAAATTAGGTAAATAAATACGGAGGACATATTTGTAAAATCAAGAGGGATAAAAAGGAAAAGCTAGACAAGCAGTAGTAACAGTCATAAAAGCAAATATGAAAATTTGTAAGTATACCAGACAAAAAATTCAGTCCACCAGACTGATTTGTTCTGTGATAGAAAAAAAAAAAAAAAAGAAAGGCAGTTTAAAAAAGTCACTTCAAGAAAGGAAAATAATTTCTTTGCAGCATTATTCTTTGTTGATACTGTTGAGGTGTTGTATGGCCTAGACTTAATCTTATTAGACAATAGAGGAGCAGCAGCACTGGCAGAGACTGAGGTGTCAGGAAAAATCGATAAAATCAAGAGCAACAAGTTACTGGGACCAGATGGTGATTATTCAAGTTTTTTGCAGGAATGTAAGAATGAAGTGGCTGAACTGTTAACAGAAATGACACACTTCCTAGAACCAGCTACTGAATTATAGAGCTGGAAGGTAAGAAATTCATAAATTATTAATAAAAAATGCTAGAGTTGATCTCAGAATAGAGGTTCAGTGGCCTTTGTTTTAGGAGCAATAAAATTCATAGAAATTATGATTAAGTATCTTGCTAAATTTGACATGAAAAGGACAAATTAGCCAAACTTCAGAAGAGAAATGTCAACCACCCTAATGTATTGCAATTTTTCCATATACCAAAACCAATGCATGGAATGTTTAGTATGAATTATGTTTCATAAAGCTTTTGAAAAAATTCAGATATCTTCTACTGAGAAAGCTCTTCTGAGAGAAAAGTTTTAAGAAGCAATACATAATTAACTCATAGGCAAAGCATGTTGTGAAACCAGTAGGGTGTTGGCACTTAGAATATATAAAAGAATAAAACGTAGGTTGACGTATTAAAAACACACCTAGTTGCAATAAAGAAATATGAATAAATTAACCATGGATTATAAACTCCTAGGCTTCATGGGAGTTGCCAACCAGTAACAAATGAATTTAGAAAGAAATATATCCTTTGAGAAGTGCAATTGTTTCCTGCCAGTACTCTGGCATCTTCTACAGGCAATGGTAATGGTCTTCACAGGAAAACAGACACTGAGCTATTCTGACCAATATGTTATAAATAGACAGTTTCAAGTCACTAAATAAATGTGCGTTTTTATGGTAAGGGAACTAAATTATTTAAGAATATTATTTAGGTTAGGAAATAAGTCTGTCACTGTCAACAACAGGACTGGCACATGGTACTTTAAGATTGATGATATACTCTTTTTTTCTTTTAATTTTAGGATATGTTTCCATATTCAGATCATAGACATTGTGCCAAAAGTTTACAAAATCCAAAGCAATTCAATATGAACTATTTCTTGTCATCTGTTGATTAACAGAGCACTGCAAACCTGTCAAGTAGCAGAGGAATTCTGCCCTGAGTTGTCACTACTTGAAGGTCTTATTCTGCCACACTATTAATGAATTGACAGTTGAGGCATGGTAAAATACTTTCTGCATTTCAGATTGGAATAACTGATTCTGTAGCCAAATAAATCATATCAATTTAAGCTTTACATAAAGCGAAAATAGAAATTATGTGTTTATTTTAAAAGGTAAATTTAAAGCATATTCCCCTGGAGTGAGAAGTCTTGTGAGACTGGTATTAATCTACTTTTTCAGGATATTAACACTTCTATTGCAACTTGTCAATGATTAAGCATTCATTAAACAAGTGAGGAAAAAACCACCCACCAAAAAAAAAACCATACCCCCAAAACAATACATTTTACAGCAATACTATTTTGAAATATTTCAAACTGCTTAGAAATAGCCATAAATGTTCAAAACTGGGAAAGAAGATTATGTAATTTCAAAGTTTAGAATCATAGAATCATAGAATAGTTAGGGTTGGAAAAGACCTTCAGATCATCTAGTTCCAACCTCCCTGCCATGGGCAGGGACACCTCCCATGAAAGCATTCACCCTCTGTCACACTCTGCCAGGGATGGAGCATCCACAACTTCCCTGGGCAACCCATTCCAGTGCCTCACCACCCTCACAGTAAGAACTTCTTCCTTATATCTAACGTGAACTTCCCCTGTTTAAGTTTTAACCCATTACCCCTTGTCCTATCACTACAGTCCCTAATGAATAGTCCCTCCCCAGCATCCCTATTAGCCCCCCTTCAGATACTGGAAGGCTGCTATGAGGTCTCCACACAGCCTTCTCTTTGGTATAGTTGTACTAAAAAAGGATATCTTTCTACCACAAGTCTGTAAAGTGCATTTTGTGCTACCATAATACCATTTATTTTTAAATATTTAAAACTGAGGGGCAGAATCAAAAGTGCAGGTAATGGATTAGGAAGACTTGAGAAATGATGGTGTAAGGCTTATAAGTGTCCAAGTGCTGTCAGAAACTACATACTGTTTTGTGTAACAAATAGGGCATGTGGGGCTCTGACAGAGATTTATGCTACTATATCTATTTTCTTTAACTGTTTCATTATCAGGAAACTAATTTCTATAAGTAAATTATAATCCTTTACATATCACACAATGCAGAACAGAGAAATGGATGTTTTCCTTCTTTTTAGTGTGGGGAGTCTTTTTTTCCCCTGCTTACTCTCACTGCTCTGTTAAATTTCTGTATTTCCAAACCATCCTTTATATTTACCATTCAGCACTTCAGTGGAAAACTTACCAGGAAGATTCTATATGTGCGCTGGGCATTTTGCTGCGATTTTTCAAAGGACTGAGACTAACCCTATGTACCATTACACAGATGTAAAAGATGTTGTTGCTACTAATGGGCTTTCCTTCACTATACTGAACTAATACAGAAAGCCTCAGTAAAGGCAAATTGATCTTACATGCAATAATTCTAATGAAAGAAAAGGACAATCATGCTATTGTAGAGGGTGCCCTCATTGGATTCCTGAGTAATAATATTCCTTTGCACTTCATCAAATGTGAACATATGTAATTAATTCCATTTCCATAATTTCAGCCTCTGACATTATCATGACCATAAAAAGATTGACAAGTAAAAATTATACTACAACCAAGGTTTCAAATTTTCACAGACCTGATTGAACACTTTTGCACAAGATTCTCTGTACACCTGGAAAGGGTTGAAGACAGGCTGCTCTTCTCTGCTGTTACGTGTCAAAGGCAGGCATTTACTGGAGGTAACACCATCTTCAGAAGAATTCTCACAAGACAGTTGCTCCTTCAAATATTCCTTTTAGAAAGAAAACAAAAACAAAAACAAAAAACACACCAAAAAACAACCACAGAACAGTATATGCCTCCTAGCTTTCTAAGTGAAATTTTCCTAAATTTTAAGCATAACTTCACCGTGCGTTTGATAGAAGTTCCTTATATTAATGGAAGGAATAAATAATCTCTTACAAAATAGAAACCTTTTTAAAGAGCACCACCTTTTTACAAAAAACAATAAATAACCTCCATGAATATCCATCCATCTAAAGCAAATTACAATCATATAAGCTATTGTTTTGAAACTGTCATCAAATTATGTGTCTCGGTACTCATCTAATATATATATATGCAGAAGTGAAAACCAAATGTTTTCTATAAGCTGTTATAACGTAAGATGGCCATTACATGATTTCTTTTACAGGATAAACTACACACAAATATTTAAAGTTATTTTTTGACAGCATTAAATAGTTACTACATGACTAGAAATTAATTCTTTGATGAATATGTTCAAACCAGTTGTTTAAATGCAGGAAATAAATATTCTCCCACTCTTAAAACCTGTTTTTAATTGTTTGAGCAGTCAAAGACTAGAAATCATTTATGATTTACATGGCAATTTTAGAAACTATACTGTAACAGATGCATGATTATTTTGGCCACAAGCTTTTCTGTTTTCACTTCTTAAACTACTATGTAAATAAATCATCATTGCATGCCAATAAAATGGTTTGATTTAATAGAGCTATTTTACCAAGAGCTAGATAATGATACACTTACAGATCTATTTGCCAGAAGGGCTACTGTGATCAAACAGTTTGTTATTAAGTCCTATCATAACAATGATAGGACTGCCTTAACACCGAGCAAGTACTCAAGGTGAGCTTTCATTAAGGTGGATTCAAATCCTCCTTTTATTTTGCAGTACTCCTGAGATGATAAAAAAGTTCAGAGGCAGGTGAGGGAGTATGAGAACTATCTGCCAAGGCACCTTGTGCTCCTCAGTAGGTCTTTATGAAAGAATAATTTCATCATCAGTTTAAACTGATCCAATTGTGATCTGGCCTGAAAGGCACAAGTTCTCTCCCAGTCCACATATGCTGCAGCTGTTTCTCCCTTGTGTTGGCACTAGCATATGTTGTGAAATCATCCAGAAAGAAAGAAAGGTTTCAGCCATATAAACAAGCACCATGATTTCTAGTAGTAGTAGAAAGAGGGTCCTAGGAGTGGGAAAAAACAAGGGCAAGAGAAAAAGTAGGACTGTTTCGCTCTGCTGATTGCAGCCAGTGGTCAGGACTGCTTGAGAAAAACCACGAGATTGTGAAAATGAATGAAGAACCCATGAAAATATTAAAAAAAAAACCAACAAAACAAACTAATAAAAAAAGATAAAAATACTAAAAAAACCCACCCCAAACCAAAAAAAAACCTCAACCAACCAAAAACAAAATACCCCCAGAAAAAAACCCAACTGAACCAAAAAGACTCTGAAGCCAGAGTGTTTTTGGTTTAAGACAACAGTGTGAAAATACACTGTTACCTACATTTTTTCACATAATCCCTAGATGTCTGTAGGGCAGCCAAGCCCTCTGCGTGTCACAGAGAGAGCACAAGCAGATTGTGTTGGATTTTTTAGCAAAGATACTGGAAATTGCTGTGTGTGCTTGCTAGGGTTTGAACATTTTGAGTGGTAGACTGTTCACCTCCCAGTAGAGGCATTTTTCTGTCTTTGGAATACTGTGGATTTATGTTTTGACACAGAGACCTATTAAAAATTGGTAAATGAGTTACTTTAAGAATTCCTTTAGTACAGTGTGTATTGTAGCCCCTGAAAAAGTCGTATTTCAAAAATGTGAAAATAGAAATGAAATAATTTTTTAAAACCTGTGAGCTATATCCTCACTATTATTGACTGGGCATGAAACCAACTAGACAGAATATTATTGAGCCTGACAGCTCAGGAGAGTTGGTTTCTCTTTGGCAGCCATTCGTCAAAAAATGCTTTTAAAAATTATTATTCTTTTAGGTAAATACATGAAGGACAATAGGGTGCTTTGAATTCTACAGTATCTATTATAGATCTTTATAACATAATACTCTATTTCCAAATAAAGCTTCTAAGAACAATATCCCTTTTCATCTGCTTTTCTAAAGAAAATTATTAAGAACAACAATTTGCTCTCTCATCATTTTGTTCTATATTCACAGGCAATTATTAAGTGGTGTAGCATAAAGATCTCCAAACTAATTTTAAGAATACAATCCCTTGATAGTCAGAGGAGTCTCCAAACAAAAGGATGGACATTTGAACAGGCAATCAAGTATATTTTTTGATAGTCAGGCACACTAAAAGTAAAACAATATTGTGTTCACAATAAGTGAAAAACGACATTGAAAAGTGCATTACCGTAATACCATGATAAGCATTAAAATATTTTCTAATGGTTTCAAAGGCATTTTGAAGTAAGAGGGTTACATCCTTCTGTGACTCAAGCTGGTCAAGATTCTTTTTCTTCTTGTTTTTTAATAAAACAAAACAAAAAAAAACCAAGACTTTTTCTTTTTTTTTTTTTTTTTCCACTGAGAAACATTCCATATTTAACAAGCTCTTACCAGCTGCAGAAATTCAAGGAAAGCCACCTGGGATGTGCAAAGTCAGTCTAAAGTCCCTCTTCCACCTAATTCTCCCAGCATCTTACCTCCTATTGGAACTGCTCCACTTTGTATAAATAGCCAAATACTCATAGGAGCCAGATCTTTTTCAGGGTCTCCAGAAATATGGGCATTCTACCCCTTCAGTGAGATTATGATTCTATTTTTGACCCTGGAAGTTACAGAATGGATTTTACAGCCATTTCTACAGGGTGAAACAACTCCATCAGGGAAAAAGAACAGAGCTCCATGCTGGTAGCTAATGGTCTAGCAGTTTGGGGAGCTAGTTTGGATGCGGGAGATGCATATTCAATTCCCTGGTCTAAACCAGGCAGAATGAAGATTTAAACTTGCCTATTCTGGCCTCTAGGTGATTGCCTAAACTACTGCATTACATGCTATTTTTGGAGATCTTGTTCATCTTCCTCCCTCTGTAAGAGTAATCCTGAATGTGCTCCAGGTGAAAAGGTTTTGTTTGAACTGTATTACAGTAATAATTTTCACTTCACTTCCTGAACCATTTAATTAATTTAATTATTTGAGATGAAACTTGAAAAGATTCTGTATTGTATTAATACTAGGTTGCCATCTCTACATACCTGCTTACTTTGCTTCTAAAGCTTCCAAATGCAGATGCACAAAGGTTGTTTTTACGACTATACTTAAGAGCTAAACAGTTGATCTGATTTTCAGAAGCACAGTGCCAGTACTGAGCTGCTTTGTATTGCCTTCACACTGACATAGCTGCCTAATTGTTTTTTTTTAAAAAAAAAGAAAAATCTTGGCCTATGCCTATATTTGCATTATTTTGCATTTTATTATAAACACTTCTGTATACTTGCAATGATCTTAACAGCACCTGCTTATGCATTCAAGGAAAAGTAATTTAGTAATTAAAGCTAATAAACAGAACTTTCTTAATTAAGCTGTGTAGATCTGTGTTACCGTACAATTTAAGCAAACCTGTGTTTATTTCAGTGTATGAAATCAAAATGCTTTTGGTAACTTTGGGCAATTTAGTACAGCATTAGAAATAATGAGATAATTCTCTTATTTTGCCCAAATTCCATGTGCAGCAAACAAACCTGAATTTGTTTACTGTCATTTCAAAAGCACTTTAAATGAACAGAGTTATCTAGATTAAGGAAGGTTTTCATGCATTTACTTCCTCAGAACAGCCCTAGGGTGTGTTTGTTTGTTTCTTCATTTGTTTTTTAAATCAGGAAAATTGATTTACCACATTTAATTTTACTTCCTGTAACAGTCAATTTTTCAATAACCTTGTTGGTTTTGGTTTGGTTTTTGTTTTTTGTTTTTTTTTTTTTTAATGAGTGTGGTTTGGTTTTTTGCCTTTTTTTTTTTTTTTTTTACTGAGTTCAAACTCCTAAGATTTATCTATGGTCTACAGAATCTGAAGGAAGCTTATGAGCCATACTACTGTTTAAGTACATAAATAAAATCTACATTGTTTTCCAGAAAGTATTCTCTTCTGTACAACTGCAGAAAAGCCTAAACTGAATGGATTCTATTACAGTACAATATAGGATTTCATATTGACTTTAAGAAAAATTATCACCTCCTTGACTAACCCTTAGCTGCCAACAGACGCTGCCTCAGGCCAGTACACACCTAATTGCTCGGTAAAAAGGCCGTTTCCTTACCTCATTGAGCTGGATGATGTGATAAATTTGCCTCAGGTACTCGCTGCCACCTGGTTTGTGGCAGATATCCAGGACCATCATGTTTATTTTCTGCTCAGTGAACCCAATACCTCCTTCCTCTAACGTTGCACCTACTGTGGCTGAGGCACTGGAATATGGAGAAAGTGCAGATATTCCTAAATTAAATTTATAAAAATCAAAATACTAATATAAGATCAGCTTAAAAACACAAAGATTTGGCTTGCACAAAATAAATGTTGCTGTATAAACATCTAATAAGCCTTTATAGAACTAATTAATAAATGCTGAATACAATATTTTTAGTATTAAAATTATTTTAATCTGAAAGATGAAAATAGTAAACTTTGTTACTCTATGGATATATAAGCAACAAATTTTTTTTTTCTTTCCCACTAGAGAAGTATCTTTGCCACCAGAAATGGCATTTGCATTTGATCTTTCATACATTTTTCTTTGCTTGTTGCTGTACATATCAAAGCCTAATTAACATGTCAGAAAAGTAGCCATTACTCTAAGTATAGGTTAGAAGTTTTAAACTGAAGTCTTTTTCTTTCCATTGGTATGATGGTAATCATTTCAAAGGTACATATTTGACACTTGTTGCACTTTTTACACTGTGCTTCTTTTCTCCTTAAAAGTATTTGTGTGAAGCCACTATCAAAAAAATACCTTAAGGTGACCATCCAAAATGCCTTGAAAAATATGCTTTCAAAACTAGGACCATTGTCAGATTGCTCTCTCTACGTACAAACATGTTACCAGCTTAGCATTGTATGCTGACAAAATATTAAGGAAAAAAAACTAATTATTGTCTTCAAATATGAGAGCTATGACACAGGTATATTTTGGCACCTTGACGTGTGTCAAGAACTTGAAAGACCGACAATAATATATTATTCATTCTACAGTCATTACTGAATTAATTTAAATTCTACGAAAGAAGCATTCTGAATATAAAAAAGCACAATTTTTTAAAAGTAAACCCAAAAAGTTCCAATGTACTTTGGTATAATCAGCTGTATGTTGTAGTTTACTGTTGAAAGTGTGCCATGACTACAAAATTAGTTCCACTGGAAGTTGCTGCTTGACCTACAGGCACACTTAAATGCTATACAGCTGCTGGACATTAAAGCTGATATTGCTTCCAAATGCAGCTTCAGAACATCTTACAGAGCAAATAGTTTCAAAATATAAACTATAATTTTGTTGTTTGATGAATAGAAGTAAATGATACTCTGCTATAATGGTGTATTTTACAGAAAAGCTTTGAAGAAATTGATCTTAAAAATTAAGGCATGTTTAAGACTGATCTTTTGATGCAACATACACATACGAACTGAATTTCTTTCCAAACTTCTTCATGACTGACACTGAAAAAAGTTGAGGACCTCTGACAAAGGAGTATATCTGTGTCAGTGCCCAAATTGCATCCTTTCCTGTCTGTCAGTGTGCAGGTGAAGCAGATGATTGGATTCAGTCACTGCTATGATTAATGAGTTCCTCTCTGGATTTGGGACTGCCTATCCATCATGTCATTAGGAAGAATGTGCCCTGAAAGAGGCAGACCTCAGCCAAGGAATAACTGCATTCATCTTAATCTGTATGTGCACCCGGCCAGCCAAGTCAGGGTCACCATGATAAAAACAATAATCTTCAGCTCGACAAATTACTTTGCAAAGACAGGCATTTCTTTTCTTCTCGGGATGCATGTTCTTCAGAATCCAACGTGACTGTTTACAGCTCTGGGGCTACCATAAAGTGAAGGTTATTTTAATGAATACTAATTCTTTCAGGCAGTACACAAGAGAGGCAATGCATGCAACTGACGTTTTCTTTCACTGAAGATTTTTTTTCTGAAATCTCCCGAAAAGCTAAATTTAATTTGCATGCCACAACGGAAGAAACTATGTAATATTTACAGTTCTTATGTAGCTAGCAGTTCTGATAACAATAATGTAACACAAAATCCTGCGAGACTTTTGCTTATAAAAATTCAGTGCACTTTAAAGATGATTCCACAACTGTGTAGATGAATCACAAATAAGTGTTTGAAATTTTGGGGGTTTATATTATTCCATGCTCTGCATCTATTAAAAGATCATAAACATTTCTAAAACATATATATATATATAAATGCATGTGCATAGTTACCCACAATAATCCTTTAATAATTAAAAGGTCATACAAACATAAATTTACCCCAACTTAGATTTTCAATTATTATTTCAAACAAATCACATAAACACCACAAGTCTTCTCTTGAAAGACCTGCTTTTAGTTTACTGATTATGTGACTGCTATTTAGTTTAATTCATATTCAAATTTCAGCTTTAATATATTAGTTTCATAATTTGCATTTACAATAAGATTATACCTCCACATTGCATATCTCAGCTAGTTATTAACAAGACACTTTTTTCCCTGAAATTGACTCATTATGTTTGAATAAAAAATGGCAAAATAACATTTGTGTTAGACTTCTATTGCAGAAATCCCACTGAAGTCAGGGGACTTAGTGTAGTCACTGCATCATAGTTTTGCAAATACTCACAAATGCATAGGTAATGCATTCTTAAGCTTAAAATTAGTTACCCTAGTCACAAACTAGCACTCACTTTGGTTGGCACTACAGACATACAGGAAACATTTCCCCACATTCATTTCTCACAGTCCTATACTTGATAGCTAATACAGCATTTTTGCAGTGTGTTAGTAAAGCAAATAGAGTGATATATTGAATTAAAATTCTCAGCTTCAGAAGAAGTGCAAATACTAAAGTTTTGGTTTTTAGAGGTTATCCACAATATATTCTTACACTGCGTTTATATTTTTAAATACCTATTCTCTCAGTGACATTAGAAATTATAGTATGGAACCATTCTGTTAAGTATCAATTTACACATCACTATTATGGTTTTTTCATTCTATGACTCTTTCAGTCACTAGCATCTGGCTTCAAACTTTTAATTACTGGATTAGAGCTTGTAAATTAGTATTAAATGGAAATGTAAATATTACAAAGGTCAATGTCACTGACATTCATGTGAGACTATTACTACTTAGCCCTACTCATGTCAACTGACTCCTCATAGAAACAGGATACTGTCCCTTGAAGAACTGTATGAAAGTCTGTTCACCGGTATTGGTGATTCCGACCTATCATCACTATATCCTTTGTTTGTATGAAAAATTACTGTCAGGAGAGCAACAACTGCAACCTTCAAGAATACTAATTGTAAAAAAGCAGTCTTACTTTGAGTAGTCAACAACTTAATTCAGTAAGTCCTGTAACTCTAATAAATCTAATATTGGAGAGCTGATAAATCATATTTTTACAAAATGGTACATGATTCAACATTAAACCAGACAGGACTAGGATCACTTTGACATGAACAAAACTCCTTGAAAAATCATTATAAAGTTTCCAAACTCTTGGACTTTAATGTCAAATCTGCAGGGAAGGTTGATATTCCCACAGAAAGGCAGAGCAGGGTATTCTCTTAGTCCTGTTTTGATATACCCTACTTGCCCTCAGGGTTTGCTGTCTTTTAAAAGGAAGTATGCTTACTATTTAATCACACATGAACACCGAAAGCTTTTCATAGTCACTCTTAATTTAATCACTGTAAAAAAACTAATTTATAAATGCACTGTGGTGCCTTCTAGTCAGCATACTTATTCACATTATGAAAGATACACCAATTAAATTGTCCATATTTTTGGATAATAATGAAAATATGAAATCTCTGAGTACTATGAAGACAATTTTCCAAAAGCCATCAATATTAAGAACTAATCAATTTAATAAATTCACTTTTTTTTTTTTAATGAAATTGAATGATAGCCATAAACACAGGAATACTCAGTAAAATAAAAACCAAAAAACATAGCATTTGAAAAATACAATGTTCTTACCTGTCCATGCTCAATTTTCTTGCCTTCAGCAACTGGCTTTCAATCCAGTTTGGTCTTTGCTGTTCAATATTTTGTATAACCTTCTGGATCACTTGCTTAGGGCCACTTTTCTGTTTTCCCATAAGACTTTCTAAGCACACATGAATTAAACTGAGTTTTTCTTTGCTCCATCTGTCAAGTGTTGCACCTGTTAAGAGTTCTGCAGTATTTCCATCCTCAAATATTCGACATATAATTACAATCAAGTTCCAGACAAGCAGACCAGCTTTCTTCAATTCAGCAAAGTTTCTTGACATTTTTCTCTCAGCCAGAAAAAAGAAGTACTTAATTGGGGGAGGCAAACATGCAATCACTGTAGGTAACTTGCTGATTACAATAGATACTGCCTGAGCTGCAAGCCTTGTGAAGCCTTAAAAAAGAAAGAAAAGAAGATATGATTAACATTAACATTCTAGTTCTATCACGGCATGCTTCTGAATGTTGTATGATAATTTCTAACTTTCTTTTGTACGGAAAATGGGTAAAAAGCTTAAGTACTCAACACGGTAGCTTGATTTCTATTGTGCTCCCTCCATATAAATCCCACAAAAGCTAAACAATAACATGAATTAAACCAGAGAACCTAGAAAATTTTGAATTCAGACTGTGAGTCTCTTAATAATTAGTCCTGATGTGCACAGTTATTACAAAATAAATGAAAAAGACAACACCCAGCTGTTATGAATGGTAAAAAAGTTGTTTCTGAAATTGTAGTGTAATATTTTTAGAACTTCATGAATGGAGCAGTGTCCTACATATCTCAGGATATTACATACATTCTTAATCTTTAGTTTTCTCTTATTATCTTTTCCCCAGTTTTATTGATCCCTTTCTATGTTCAACCCTACGAAACTTGACTCATCAATTTTCACATAAGCATGCATGCTATATAGCACAGCATTTTAAACATTCCAGGTATTAAAAGTAGAAGAAACTACACTAAATATGGTGCTCAAAACCCAAACGAAAAAATACACCAAAAGGTGATCCACAATGTGGAGTAATTTAAAAAATCACCAAAACAAAACCCTGGTAAAACAAGAAAAACCCTGACTCGTTGCATCTGTATTGTCAACTTCTTAAAATAAAACCTCAAAAACAAACAATAAAAAAGCCCAAAACCACACACACACACAGAAAAAAACTCACAAACTCCCCAAACTGCTAGATCTGTTCTAGGTGTCCAACAGCCAGTTTAACTTGTGACCAAGTCTGAGTCTTATGTCTCAGCTTGCATACCAATTCAGGCTTACTAGTATCCTAAAATTGACATACAAGTAGTTCTGGATTAAAGTGATATTGCAGTAAGAGTGCAGTGAGCACACTGCTGCATAAATATGCCTCAATATGCTGAGGAGAATATACACAGAAAGAAAGAATGGATTGATGCTCTGGCTTGCCTTCAATCTACATATTCAAAACTTTATGCCAGAATATACTGCAGTGATGGTACTGTAGTGAAAATCTTCAGGTAATATTTTGGTGGCAAAAAATTTATGGTGAAATCTTTCCAAAAGTTACCCTTTTGAAATGACGGAGGCTTTAGGCACTGTAGACTATGAAAGTATATACTAGAAATCAGCTTTACATCTAACCTTCAAAATATCTCCTATTACATGCATTATTTCTCTTTCTTCAGTAACTGTTTCAACAACCCAGCAGCATCATATTCTGTAACAGTTTCAGCACTATTCAAACACAAATTGCTGTGTTATAAAATTGGGATAAGTTGTTATCATTTCAGTCAGCATTATGTATCTAAATTTAAACAGTCCTGACTGAAAAGATAACTAAGAACTGGTTACAGCCATTAAGACAAGAGTGTAGATATTATACCTTAGTCTGCCTTGAATCATAACTTATTACTGCCAGATGCTAAAAATATTTTCAGTACTACTATTATCAGTACTACAATACTTATTTTAAAAAGCTTGTTTGTGTATGCATTGGTGTAAGGCTCAAGAATGAATAACTGAATTTTAATGCCAAGTGCTTTGAAAAAAAAACCCCACACAGGATGTTTGGAAATAATTTTATTCATTGTCAAACTGCAACACTCATGAACTCTGTCTAATTTTGATATGTACTCATTAAAGCAGTAACAAGCTTTTATGACAAATGATAAAACAGTGTATAAATTTCACCCACATTTCCCAGATTCTTTTCTCTTCATTTCCCGAGGAGTATAATTCCATTCCTTTGGAACCGTTTTCAGTAAACTTTCAGGCACTATTTGCTTGTGCTGGTATGTTCCATAGTTTTCTGTTGCCTCCCATGAATGCATCAAAGAAATTATCTGCTTCACAATACCTTTGACTGAATTAATCAAAGTCAGCTTCAAGCATCTGATAACTTCTGGCTCCGACTCACAACAACTGGAAACTTCAGAAGGAAAAATTATTAAATATTCAGTAAGTGTAGTCACTTGTGTAAATCTGTTTCAGGAAAAAGTGTTTCAGAATTCATATGGAAAGAAAAGTAACAACATTATGAGTCATAATAACTTAGACCTATTGACCTATTAGAGAAAATAAACCAAAACAACATAGCATCTTGTACCATCTTAATACAGTACTGCCAAAAACGCAATTTCATTTATTTCCTTCATCCTCCTTTCTCCTTCAATATGTTTCTAAAAATTTAATTTAAGTTGACATCTTCCTTTTCATATGGAATAAATTTAATTACTTGTTAGACATCAATGAGGCAAATAGATATAACTGGGTTTTTTTCTACTTCCTTGTCTTGATAATATTAATGCAGTTGCGTTTATTAGATACTCCAACTGTTACACTAGGGAACAGCAAAGGAAGAAAAGATATTTTGGAAACAAAAATGCATACGAATGACAGTCATTAACAGAGACATAGGGTATTATCAGAGATTGCATGCTGAAAATAGAACACCCAAATGCAGTTACAAATACATTACAACAAGTATCAATCTTCTCCACATTCTTAATACCACAGAGAATTGAGGAGCAGCAGGTGTCAGGCAGAGGGCTGAAGGACATAAGAGGGGTGTCTTTTGATATGTTAGGTCCTTTCCTCTATTTTGCTTGTACTTTTTGCTGGTCTAAGTTTCATTCTTTTTTTACATGGCCTTTCTGGAAGCTTCCATACAATGTTTCTCTTTTTTTGCTTTCTCTTACACCATAGACTGCTACTTTTGAAATCCCATTTTTCTCTGAGGAGTACCTGAGCAGTTTTACCACAACTGTTTCTTATTTTGTGATATTCATAATTCTGTGTCCCCTCTTACACTCTCCCATTTTCTTTCTTTTCTTTTGAGCTTTCCTGCATTTTATCTATCAACATTTCAAGATCATCCTTCTAAACCTCACCTCTTTTCTCTGGTTGAATACTGCTTTTCCTTGAGGGCAGCGTCAGATGCTTTAATTGTGAGGACAGCTCTCCTACTCCATGGAAAATGAGGCGCCTGCCTGCCTGTTGACAGTGGAGTTTATATGCCCATCAGACTACTTCTCCCCCAATAGGAGTCCTTCCTTTTTCCACTCTTTTAATTGTTTCTTACTTTTAAATCGTGGCAAAGGTCTAGAGTCATTAAATGCACAGAGAAAAAGAACCTGTGCTGATAAAGAGGTACAAAAAGGATCTGCTGCTAGCATGCTGGTTCGGCAGACACAAGGAAATAAGGCTCCTGGTCGACCATACTGCTCCATAACCTCTGCTGTCTTCAAAATTTTCATCACTCCTACCATGAGCTGGTTGCTCAAAAGACTTTGATTATACTACAATTTTGAAGTAAACTACTATAATTACATCTGATTTATTAAGGTAAAAAAAATATGTACTATATATCAAAAAACTGACTACTAGGTTTAACATTAGATTTTAAATACTTATTATTACATAAAATACCTGTCATATTGTATAAGCAATTCCACAACTGCTCTTTTTCCATGTAGGTCTCAAAAGCAATGCCAAGAGATTTGGGTGATAAAGTGCAGTAAGACAATACTCTGAAGATTGTTTCAATCAGAGTAGGCTCTTTACTATACATCTGTTCTAAGAGAGAACTCTGCTCATGACGATTCAATACTTCATTTCCTTAAAAATAAAGAAAACCATGGTTACAATAATTTTCAAGTAATTCAAGTTCACAGTAATAGATAGTATTAGTCAAAATGAACTGCAAACTGTATCTAATATTTCAAACAATAATACTGTAGATACTATACTGTATTATCTATACTATACTATCTGCAGATACTGAAATTTGATCTTCCTCTGCATAATGATATTTGACTTCCTGAATTATACGTAGCCATTAAAAAAAAGACTGAAGCATGTTTACAAACTATGGAATATGGCTATTTCAAAACACGCTCAGTATATGTTTGGAATTTGATTATTTGATAAATACTAATCAGAAGTAAATTGTACTATTTCTGTAGAACCACAGTCAAAAAGTTATTATTACTTAATTCCTCTTATCAGTATATTAGTCATACGAAGTAACTGAACTCTATAAAATATAATACAGTAGCAGCTGCATACTCCCCAGAATGGGTTGTCTTCTTTTTTCAGTATAAGATGAAACTGAGAAGAAATCAGTTCCACAAAACAAAATCTCAGCCCTGCTAAGATACAGATATGTATGTTTTTAAAGGCAACTAGTGATTTTTATAGAGTTGAGTGGTTAATACCTCACATAACACGCATTTCTGTTTTTCATAATCCTTACAAAACATTCTCCCAGCTGAAAGATAATAATGTGTTCAAACCTCTTTGAACCAATGCAACTCAGTGGTTTTGAGTTATGCTAATGCCAAAATGTGGAAAATGCTTTTGATGTTAACAGTCATAACAAATGACCAGAGCCGGAACCAGTTAAACACTCTTAAGTTTCTAGATTGCAAACATGAAATTTAGATAAAACAGTGCTTGAAAATGTCATTGGTTTATGACCGTTTGACTGCCCTTACCTTTCGCAACCTTTGCAGGAGAAAGATGGGAGACTATATTTCTAAACTGTGGTTTGTAATGGTTCAAACACCCTTCAAAATACACCACAGTGGAAAACTGATGGTCTCCACCCAGCTCTGAATGATTTGAGAATGTTGTAAAATTAAAAGAATCTCATTCTACTCTCCTCTAGAATTCCTAGAATCTAATTCACACATTACTGCAAACCATTCAGCCTGGGTAGCATGCAGCCTTGATAGAAACAGCCCATAGGATATAGAAAGCTGAAAAAGAAGATCAGTGATTTCATAACCAACAAGCTGCGGGCTTTTTTCCCTGAGGCAGGAGACAGATTAGCGGTAAGATTTTTTTTTTTTTTTAGTCAGCTTTTCTTCCTGTGGGTTGAGTAAGCCAGCATACTTTGCTGAGAGACCTTTCAATGCCAGATGCTTCAGAGTATCTGGAGAATCAAACGAATTCCACTAATTCACTCAAACCAGTGATATGTTGTCTAATATGGATGTGACAAAAGAAAGAACCAAAAAAGCAGGAAAAAGCCGTTAAAAAAGAAAACCACAGAGCTATTCAAATTTTGAGATGAAAATTTGAATTAACTTTGATTATATGACTATAGGGATTTTTTAAAATTAATTTAATCAAATTCTAGGGAGGAGGATTTGCTGAGATTTTAAATACTATTTAAACTGTCTTTACAGAATATGATGGGAAATGGCATTATTGCTTTGTTTAAAGGGGTTTATGACATGAAACGAAGCCTAAATTTCTTTTATGATCGTGCCACATGGAATGTTTGAGTCACAACTTCATAATAATTTTTCTAATGAACTTAGTTCTACAAGTAAATTTAGATAAATTGAAAGAAGTATAAAAGAATTCTGTAGGGGTTTATACATATCTTCTTATGACTAGTGTATAATACAAGTCTGCTTTTCAGCCAAGACATTCAGGAATCCACTGGGAAACCATTCTGAGGTGAAACATAACAAGATATGTAAGCTTTCATTAGCTTTATTCTTTTGTTTTACCCTTAAATGAATGTTGCCCACGTTGGAAGAATATCTGACCTTTCAAAGCTCAAGCTGAAATGGATTTTTTGACAACTAAACTAGCATAGATCATAGAATCACAAAATCATAGAATAGTTCAAGTTGGAAGGGATCTTAAAAAGATAATGTCAGCTGGCTGAAAGGTTTAGAAAGTTGATCAGTATAGCTGGTTAAATATTACGAATTAGGAGTCTACAGAATGGTAGGTAGATTTCTCTTGCTTTAGAATTTTTCTTTAACACTTATTAGCTCACCTGTCATAACATTAAATATTCATCCTAGTTTCAACTCCAATGCAGCCTTCCTGTTAAACATCATAATAGGCATCATACCTATTGCCCACTGATGCCTACCTCTATATATTTCTCTTTTTTCTGCTCACTGCATTTCAGTATCAAAAGCTAACCTGTGAATGGAATCTAAAGCTCCTATAGGTAGCTCAAAGTAGATGCTTCTTTCTCATTTTAGCAGGACTTACATCCATATACAAATATGGCTATATGGTTAGGCACCTGTTAACGAAAATTGCTGTTTGTTATTTTCATATAGTCTAATGTTCAGTTGATACACTGGGGGGAAGGAATGCCATCCAGAGGGACCTTGACACGTTTGTGAGGTGGGCTGATGCCAACCTCATGAAGTTTAACCATGCCAACTGCAAGGCCCTACACCTGGGTGGGAGCAATCCCAGGCACAGCTACAGGCTGGGCAGAGAAGAGATTCAGAGCAGCCCTGAGGAGAAGGACTTGGGGGTGTTGGTTGACGAGAAAATGAACATGGGACGGCAGTGTGCGCTTGCAGCCCAGAAAGCCAACTGTATCCTGGGCTGCATCAAAAGGAGCGTGATCAGCAGGTTGAAGGAGGTGATCCTGCCCCTCTACTCTGCTCTCGTGAGACCTCACTTGGAGTATCGTGTGCAGTTCTGGTGTTCTCAACATAAAAAGAATATGGAACTGTTGGAACAAGTCCAGAGGAGGGCCATGAGGATGATCAGGGGACTGGAGCACCTCCTGTATGAAGATAGGCTGAGAAAGTTGGGGCTGTTCATCCCGGAGAAGAGAAGTCTGCGTGGAGACCTCATAGCAGCCTTCCAGTATCTGAAGGGGGCCTATAGGGATGCTGGAGAGGGACTCTTCATTAGGGACCGTAGTGATAGGACAAGGGGTAACAGGTTAAAACTTAAACAGGGGAAGTTTAGATTGGGTATAAGGAAGAAGTTCTTTACTGTAAGGGTGGTGAGGCACTGGAATGGGTTGACCAGGGAGGTTGTGAATGCTCCATCCCTGTCAGTGTTCAAGTCCAGGCTGGACAAAGCCTTGGGTGGCATGGTTTTGTGGGAGGTGTCCCTGCCCATGTCAGGGGGGTGGGAACTAGATGATCTTAAGGTCCTTTCCAACCCTAACTATTCTATGATTCTATAATGTTCCATATGCACAGAGGATATCAAGTATATTAAAATATCCATATTATTAATAAATACATTTAAAAGACAATTATGTATTGAATGAATAACATCTACATCCTAGCCAGTCACAATGTATCATTCATCCTAGGACAAAATAATGAACTTAACCTTTTGGGGTAGTACCATGTATTTTAAAAGTGTATCTTCAGGGGGAAGCATAATTTATCCGTATTTCTTTCTCACTGATAGAAATACTTCCCAGTAACTTGCTGACATTACCACACTCATCCAGCTCTTATCTGCTACTGGTTTAGCCATGAAATGAATTTTACTGAATGTAGAAAATCTGTTATTGATTCTAGATGACTCCTTCCCTAGTGAATCCTTACAAGACAGACAAGATATAAACAGTCATGCTGTCTTTTTTGACCAAAAGTTGTAGTCAAAATTAAAATTTATACATGCTATTTCATTTAGGAACAGAAACTGAAGATGGCACAAGTTATTTCTTATACAGTTCTTTTATTTGCAAAGCTCATAAAACCTCTACTTTCTTTATAGCTTAAATCACAGCAGCTTATGAGGATATAAAAAAATGCAAAATAGGATATATTGTATCTGTTTAGAACCAAACATTTCAGCAAGCACTTTGCACTAGTTTCCTCTTTGCACTGTATTCTGAGTGTTTCTTCTGTTACCGGCATTTTTTTTTCTATTCTTTTTCTGCATCTGTTCTGGTAGATCATTTTACTTGTCTCTTATAGAATTGGTCCTCTCCAATGCAATCACTCTCCAGTCAGTCTTGACAGCTAGACTATTGTAACTTTGAATATATCTTTATTTTGGCAGAAAGTCTATTATTTTATTTTTTAATTCCAAAAAGAACTTTTAGAATGTATTACTTCTATCCTAATGAAATACAGATCTTTATCCTACCCATTTCAATCTAGTAAAAAGAAATAATCCTCTGTATCAGCTGCTACCTGTAAATCCAATAAATCCCGCACTTGTGACAACTAAAAAGATCAACACAAGTCAAAAAGACTTTAACAAACTTTTAACATCTGCCCATAAAATCAGCATACTACTTTTGCGGCTATATATGTCACCAATCCCATAGAAATTTACTCTCATTTGACTTTCTTAGTATTTTTCTCCCTAAACATTTTATTTTCAACTGAGATGAGCCTTCCATTAATGAATCTCCAGGTTAATGGCTTATCTGAAATCTATCACAGATATATCACAGTCACAGATATATCACAGAGCCTATCTTTACATTTTGTCAAAAGCAGGTATGTGGTTCTCAGCAGGGCTCCAGTAAGTCCACATGGAAATTCATTTTCAGCATTTCAGAATGTCCATAAAATCTGTTCACTGTTTTCTTTATCGCTGGAAAGTCATCAAGTATCGAGTAAGGTATCTGATTATGGTCCCTTTTCTGTTGATCTTCCAGATGGAAGCACAGGACACCTGTAAACCCTTGTACCATTTTACCACATTGGTTACGCACGTACAGTACCCAATAAGTCTGCTGGTCAGATAGGTATTTTTAGTGGATGTCACTTTTAATGTAATCTTTTGATTTTTTTGTTGTTAGGCTACCATGATACTGTTTGCTATCATGAAGAAGCTAAGAAAACTTCTAGGTGTTCTGAAGTCTGTACTCACAAGCTTCATCCTGGATGACCCACAAATATCTGTGAAGAGAGCTATCTCTGCACAAGAATATAAATGCCTCTAAGAGACTTGTGCTTTCCTAAGGAGGACAATTATTTCAAGAAGTACAAAAATAATGACTTCGAGTACTGGAAATGAACTGTTGTAGAGGTTTTGCCAATGGTCAAGATTTTAATGGAGCCGGTAAATTATTAAAGGAATGTACTTTTTTTTTTAGTAGTAACTCACTACTGTCACTAAAAGTACAGTCTGATTCCTGAGTGAGGTCAGTTGGTAAAGCTACCACTTTTCACCATTTTTTAAGGGTAACTTGGAAAAACCAATGTTGTTTACATTTAAATGACTGACATTTAATTAATTAAACTGAATTTAATTAAAATTTAACTAGTGCTTAAAACTTACTCTTAAATTCCACATTATACATTGTGGTGGTTAAAGAGCTACTTCACAAGGGGCAAAGACATGGGGTGAGGGAAAAACATCCTTCCATTTGACAAATATAGTTTCAAGTAATTTCTCTTGCCAGAAACCTGTTTATAAAAGCACAGCAGCAGAAAGCTCTTTGTATCTATTAGTGTCTGGGGAGTTGGCTGTTACAGTACCACACAGTTTTATTTTTCTCAGTGGAAATCCTCCTTTCCTAACCCTCCTTAGGTATGCTAGTTAAATTATCTCTTTTTGAAGTATCTCACATTTCTTTGGGTACAATTTCAGTTTTGCAGCCTTAAATTTATCACAGAATATTTGCAAATGCCACTAAGTTTTAGTGGGGACCAGCATTTAATCTAGGTTTAACTGTACAATACCCTCTTACATTAGTCTCTAGATTATGCATTGTGCCATCCAAAAACATTAGGTGAAACTGCCAATGGCCTTGTCCTACTGTGAAAGCCAGTTTTCTTCCAATTTATCTCCACATGCCAGTATTCACTTTAAATTTGTGTAGAAAATTACATGTAACAACTGGACTCTCATGCATTCACTGCTATGAATAAGGTGTGTGGGGGGGGGGAATGTGTCTTAAAAAAAGGGAATACATTGTTTTTTCTGTTGTACAGCATTAACTTGGCACTATCATCTCTACTTAAACAAAACTATGTATGAGGCCCAAGGACTGATTGAAGGACTCAAATGTGCCTTGCTGACAATTTCTCAGTAAACTCTTTCTGTCTACTATTGATAAATGGCTAGGTGTCTGCTGACTGACAAGGTTCCCTTTAGTATTAAACCTGTGTTGGGCTAGTGTAATTCAATAAAGCTATTGCTTTTTGCTTTCTTATGCAGAGAATAAGTCCTGGTTCCTGGAAATAAAGACTCTCAAATGAGAAGTCACTGACTGTTCTGCTGGCATGCTGTGCATTTACAGCAAGTCCAGCAGAGAATCTCAGAGCTCACTTTCACCCTTCTTATTTTCATATCGTCATCTGCTGGATTGAATAACTCATATCATGCAAGCACCACTTTCTTTATTCCCCTATTATTTGTGGCTTGTCAAAATAATCAATTTTTTTTTTCACAACCATAGCTGAGAAAGCCATTCTGGTAAAAAAGGTCACCAAGAAAATTGCAAAACAGTTTGTTTTGCCAGAAAATTAACACAGTACCAGCTACCTTCATTATTTCCCTCCACAAAGGCACAGCAAAGGACCATAGCCCCTTCACTCATGCAAGAATATGTCTTCTTAGAAGATATTTTCTAAATATTGGTATATATATAATACATATATTAGATTTATATATTATATTATATATAATATATATTATATTATATATTATATATATCATATTATAATACCCCTATATTATTAGGGGTATTATATATTCCCCTATAAAAATCCCTATATGGGATTACATGGAACTGTAATTAACTGTAATTCAATGCACCTACATTATTTAGACTCATAGTTTAAGTTATAGAGTTGCAAAATGCAAATCCAATCTTTCAACTCTATTTTTCAAACCTGCCTTTTATCCAGTGGTCACACTCCCTGGAGACAAATAAGTGGTGCAGTTTTGGATATCCTGATATATTTCTTCTAGTATTTTTGATGCAATAACTTCACATTTGAGGATTTTTACTTTTTATGTACATTTCATATATCATATTGCATAAAAAATAACAAAAGTCTAAATCTTGTCACCTCCCTAACTGGATAGGTTATAGTTACATACATGGAGCTTCATTAGTGTCAACAAATATGGTAACCTTGTAATATTTAGCAACACTAAATCATGTATACATGCATTCTGCCAAAATACTCTTTCTACTGAGACAACTTAGTCAGTACCAACAATACTCCATATTGTGACAGGGAATATACATTATTTGTAACACTTACCAGGGTACAACTGTGTAAGAACAATGGGAATGCTATTAAATTAAATGTGTTTGCATGGTGCTTACTGCAACTATCCCCAAATATTGCTACCATACAATAAAAAGGTATCATTACCAAAAAACTCCACATATAAGCACCTCTTCATAAAGAATTTTTGCCTTCTGGCCTGCTTTCTAAAAGGGAGAAAGACTAAGTATAAAATAAACTAAAACGTGAGAATTCTTTTCACATGAAAAAAATTCTCATAATGTAGTTAAATACGAGGGAGTTTTGTTATTGCTACAGCAAATAACTAAAAAACTACAGTACACTTCGCTTTTAATCTGTTTTCACATTGCAAAATTTTAGTGTTGATGAGTACATAATTCTTTAAGACTTTTATTCTACTGAACAGAAGAATCCAAAACTGTCATTGCTAGTACTAAGGTATGGCTTGTTAGTCCAACTTTCCTTGTACTAATATATAACAGATCACATAGGAACAAAACAATACTTTATATAGCATCACAAAGCTGCTGCATAGGAGAGGGAATAAAGAATACAATAATTTCATCCTTAGATAATTAACCCCATTGAAATTAATTTAGAAGTTATGGATCATTGCAGGTTTCAACTTAATCTAAACTGAAAGTTTATTCATACCAATGTTGTAGTTACATTAATAAAGTCTGTGTAAATAGCACATTTTCTAATTCAAAGTAGTATATTTCCCTGAAGCTCAGGAGGTTGGTCAGTCAATAGATTAACATATTCTGTCACTTAATACCTGTGATAACTTAAGCAGCTAGTAAAATACAGTACTGGATAACACTAGGGTAAGAATACAATCCTGATCAAACATTTGTTAGTCTTTGTAAAATACGACAGGTATCTGAGTAGGCAAGCAGATGCAGTGCAGTTTGCAGTTAGATGCATGACAGAAGTGGGTGGAAGCAAAGTTGTACCTCTGACAAATGTTAGACCATTTTAAAATGACAGAACTAAATTATGTTTTATCTACTATTATGTGAACCTAGCAGTTTTTTCTTTTTCTAAGTAGGGAGAATTCTTTTGCTAAAGAAAGACAGGAACCAAAACTCTCATTCACTATTACGGCAAAATTACGTCAAAAGCGATTATACCATTAGCTTTTCAACAATATGATCATTTCATCCAGAAGCTATTAAAAAAAAGATGTGATAAAGTTTGTTGTTTCAAACACAGTGCTAGCAGAATAAAAAGAAAAAAGCTTGTAGAACCATTATTTTATTTGTTCTACTTTCATAGTGCCATTAATGAGAGTATTAACAAGAGGAAGCATATAAACGCACTTCTAGAATGCCTACAGTGACAAACCTAAAACAACTTCAACAAAACCTCTAAGAAGCTTTTCACTGTTGAAACAATTTTGAAAGTGATCTTTCAGACTGCTAATCCACACTTTTAAAAACCTGTGTGAAGCAGTTATGGTATCAAAGTTCTGTTAAGTTAAAATCTATTTTGACTCCTCTGAATTTACAATTTTACAGTCTATTTTATCAAGTCACAGTCTGTTTTGAAACTAAGAATATTCAGATTGACTGTAAAACATAATAATTTCTTTCTTTTTACTCATTCAAGAAGTATGCCCTACTGGAAAATGAATACCCCCCAAAAACGTACTTTTTCTGTACATTTCATGTATCATATTGCACAAAAAATAACAGAAGTCTAAATCTTGTCACTTACTAACCAGGTAGGTTATAGTTATATACATGGAGTATGCGTGTATACATATATCCAAAATACCCAATATCCCCCCAAAAAACACATGACAGGTTTCCTGCAGTATTCAAGTTGTTAAAAATGGATTTGTATTTCTCAGCAATATAAGGATTGACAGTATAAATACTTACTTGAACTTCTCAGTAAAATTTTTACTAAGAGACAATCATGATGTAGCAATGTTTCCAAAAGCAAGTTCAAGTTGCAGTATGGCTGGGATAAGAGCAGTTTTAGCTGACCCTGGGCTGCCATTTCTGTGGCTGATGGAGTCCTTTCGAAATGTAAGATAAAGAGAGAATAATGTAGTTAATTTATCTATGAAATTAATATCCTTATAGTGCAGATGTAATGCTAACTCACTTAAATGTCAGTTCCTCTCAGATTACTCTGAAAACGCTTTCATGCTTGCTTACTTTAAGGCAGCTCAGGGAAGGAATTACATTTAATTTCAACTAGCTAAAAGCAAATTAACATTTGGTTGTCTGCCAAAGTTATAACTAATACAAAGCAACCTCACATCTCTTTCATGGAAGCATGTTTGCCTTGTTCTACCAGGCAAAAAGGATTTTTTTTTTTTTGTGCTTGAATAAATTTAAGGCTATTAGTCTTTAGTTCACTATTACACTAATTGCTTAGCAAGAGCTCTGAAATGTCCTTGATGAAGTATATGAAGCTCTTAATTAAAAAACAGAGAATGCTCAAAGGGGCTGCAACATGCCACATTAGGTTGACCAATGCTTACACATCCTGAAAAACCTACCTGAACTATTAGACTGGCTAAATGACTGCTTTGCCAAAAGGGAGAAGTGAGAAAGCATGGTAGAAATTCATGACTTTCTAAGGAGATTGCAGATTGTTTTCTGTTTGTGTTTTTTGTTTACTGCAAAAGTTTAGATTTCCAAACAAAAATATTCCAGGCTTCCTCTGACATCAGCCAGTGACCCAACAACTGTTGGACTCACCCAGCGCAAAGGGGGAAAAAAAAATTAAAATCTTGTCCTGCTAGGTGTTTATCACTGACTGTATTCATTATTTTCTTCTTCTTGCAACATTTTCAAAGAGACATTTTCAAAATCGGGTTCTGGTTAAATTTTTTTCCTTGAAAGCTCAATTTTTCATTGTTTTGAAGGTTTTAAAATTAAATTTCAGCTGCTGTTTAGCCACTGAATTTATTCACTTTGGCTACAAGTTTATACAACAATAGTTGCTAACACTGAAAGTTTATGCACTGCATATGTAAACTTTTATGCACATAAATTTTACATGTACCGCTGTAAGAACTACATATGCACTGACAAATTGACTATGCAGGCATAAACATTTTCTGGCAGCACACACACACCTTCAGCATCAGCTAAAGCCTTATTCATCAGGAGCTAGATTTTCCTGTCAAGTAAGTATAAAGATTTATATGGATATACTTTATGTTTCATTTACTCACAACTATTTGCACAGAACTAAACTGGGTTTATGTAGCTCTCCTAACAGAGAGGAATTTCTCTGTTATGTGCATACTTCTAAGACCATCAGACTAGATCAAGTGTGTTACCACCCAACTCTGCCTGTATGCACACATGAAAAAAACAAAGATAACTGCACAAGCACTTCACTGTTCAGTCAAGGCTGATATATAGATAATGCAACTAATACAAATGTACAACACCTGGAAATGAAAATGCCACCTGATACACTCTTTCAATTTATTCCCTCTCAGGTATATTTGCATACATTACCAGAAAAGCAGTTTGCCTCAAATCTTGCAGGGCAACCTTGAAGTTACCTAAGGAAACCAAGCTTCTATAGGCGCATCTCCCAAAAGGACCTCTACATCACACTATTATGTCAAAACTTCACATAATTAAGTATTAATACTGTAATAATCATTTCAGTAAAAGAGGATTTCATACATCTCAGCCTTTGGAATGTTAACAGCAAAGGAAATACATGTGGGTTGATAAGTAATGTATGTGCCTTGAAAACTTATGAACAGCTACTGTGATTTTCATCTGGGATATATATAATTGTTGACAATATCATGCTGACTCCACAATTATATTTTTGCATACTGAATTCTAATAATATTTATCAAAATATATATATACACATATACATTTAAATATTCATAGAATTACAGCCAAAATAATTTTTCTACATTTAAAATACATACTGCATTCAAACTTTCAACACTGGAGCTTTGCATTCTTAACAGTATTACCTTAATTTCTGTATGTTCAAGATTAGTTATATAAATTCTCACCATGTTAGGAACTCATCAGTTTAGTCAGTAATTAAAGCTTAAATTAAAACAGTTACTAGAATTAGCACTGTGGCTGAGAGCAAACGCAACAATTCACTAATTCAGTTAAAATATATGGTCCACTTTCATTTTGTTTCTCCCTTGAATGCTATGTTATCATTCATATATATAATATATATATAAAGCCACTTATTGCTTTCAAAATATAAGAAAAGGGACAAGTTTGGTCAATTAGATTTATGAAGGACAATATTTTATATTACTTAAGAAATAAATATCATTTTTAAAATATTTGAGTTGAAAGAAAACTTGTCTGTCATTGACCAGATGGGAAGCTATCATGTTGTAATATATACCAGTTCTTGGCTCTTTAGGCCTCTTGCAAATTGAAATGTACAGTGATGTGATTCACTTGGAGGAAAAATAAAATACAGCAGACATTCCCTACAGCCATGTAGCTAGCAACAATAAATGCACTGAGAAGTTTTGTAACGTGCATATGGAGAGGCATATGTTCTGCCATCCTTTTAGCTCAGTACTAGTGAAAATAAGACCAGCCTCATAAAAAGTGACAAAAGGTGAAGTACATATAAATATCACACATATAAATGATCAGTTTACTACAGTAAAAGATAAAAAAATGAGGACTCTGATTTGCGAATGATACGATTATAAACCCCAAATGAAGCAAAGAATGAATCATAATTACCACTAAAGGAACTGTAATATAAATTATCAATAATTATTTAGTTTAATAATCAGCTATGTTATTTTGGTTAGTATCCAAGATGAAAAAAAAACCAAACAAAACAAAACAAAGCAGAAGACCTCAAATGGTAAGTTCAGGATTTTAAAAAGCAAATAAACATTAAAACTAATTCATGTTAACAGTATTGACAAAGATGTAGAAGTCAGATAAAAGAACACAGACTGTAGGCATATTCAGGCATGAAAAATAATGTAGTAAATCTGGTTAAATAGTGAAATTGTAAATAAAATAAATTCAGGAACTAGCAAAAGTGTCTCTTGAAGTATGAAGCTTAGGAAGAGCAAATAATTAACAGCTACATTTATGGCAGGTTAGAGTCATCAGTTAAAAATTAGGTGGCTACAGCTGGGAGGTGTATACAATTGCTTGTGCTTCCAGTCTTGTTATGGACAGTGAATATGTATTTTTATTAGATATAAGAAGTAAAAACATAAAATCCAGGAAGAATTAGAATGCTCTAAGAATTAGTTTTCTGCAACACTTAAAGTGTCTTGTTCATAAAGTGTCTTGTTCATACATCAAATGCAATAATTCAAGAAAGAAAAGCTTCTGTGACATGAATATCGAGTGTAAAACCAAGACAAAAATAGAACACCTCAGAATATGTCCCTCAAATTACTTCATTACATACAGGGTCTTTCACTTTTTTTTTAATTGGGGTGTGGTTTCTGAGCAGCTGAAAGGTGCTTTGTTGAAAGAAAACACTAAATATTTTACCAACATACTTCACTCATTATCACCAGGACAATGTACATGGCTTTATATATGCGGACTGTCCTCACAAAGGCAGGCTAACTATCTTCTCAGACATGTGCTTTCTTTTACACTCCTCATTTTACCATTATGTGGTCAAGAAGATGCATATGTTTTCATTTTTCATAAAGGGAAAATATAGATAACTCTGGAGTAGTCTTATGCTACTTATCAAGACAAATCTGCCCTAAGTATCATTTCTAAAATACTAATTCCACCCCAAATAGAATTATATTCGACTGAAATGGTATCAGCATTTCCTTTACATACTTTTTCACAGCAGAGTGTACTCATTTGTGAAGTTTTCTTCCAAAACTGATAATTCACAGTATAATTTAAATTTTGACCAATGGCTTTAGAAGGCATCAAAGAGCTTAACATCTTTTCTACAATGAGTGCTTAATGAAGCGTAAATTTTCCCAGAAATAGAATAGATCCCTTTTCAATTGATCATGTAGTCATTCCCTCTCTTATATCCCCTATTTTCCTTTCTCTCTACCCATGTATAACTTAAAAAGCCACTGAAAAATTTTATTGAAACTCAACTGAGAGGTAAAAGTACTTGATCTTTCAAGCTTTAGAAAAACTTAAATTACTATTTCAAGCAGGGAAAAGGACACATTCTGAATTCTACAGTTATTCTCTTGGTTTGGTGTTCCAGGTAGCCAACCACACAACTTTGATTCAGTCACAGCATCTATTGCTTCTGGCTCAGCAGGTATCAAAGTCACCCAGGAAGGAGATAAAAGTACTGCTGAAATGTAGTAGGAGTGAAGATTAGGAAGAGAAATGTTTTGTGTAGTATGGAGCAAAATCGTAGGAAAGATATTGCGATATACAAGGTAGAAGATATTGTGTATATAAGCTAAAAGGTAGTAAATCCACATCATACTGGTCATTGGGAGGTCACCATAGGTCACCACTCACATGATAACATATTCCTCCAAAATAGAATAATACTTTCTCATTAAACAGAATAAAAATTTGTAAAAGCAGCTTTTCAGGAAAATGGAGAGTGAAAATCTCTCAGGAAATAACTTTTGAAGAGGAGGAGGAGGTGAAGGGGTTAGGAGAGAATCTGCACTGGTGTGGGAGTGCTTCAGGTTCAAAATTAGAAAGGGAATGACAGCACAGCTGGTAGCATATGTCTCACATGTAACTTGTCATTATATGCAGTGACACAGAAAAAGAAACTAAGTTTTTGCCTCTAATCATGCAGTAATCTCCCAAAAAATCAACTACGATCAAGCAGCATATTTTTCAATGAGTTATTTATATATCAAACTTTTTTTTTAACCAGCGATCATAAACAGGGAGGCATACATTCTTTATTATATGCCTTTCAAAAGAGCAACTGTGCTGAAATACATTATTGTCAAGAGCTATATACTCTTTAATTACAGGAAAACAAACTTACAGATAATTCAAATATCAAACATAATGAATAGACTAGCAAAAAGCTACACAGTGTACTGCTTTCAGTTTGGCCTTTCTTACAGACTGTTACTGTTAAAGTTTGAAAATTAGGAAAATTTACAATGAATTTAAAAAGATGTTTCTGTGTTTTTTCTTAATCATAATATCAATTAGACATGTATTAATATATATTTTTCAAAATGTTAAAAAAAACTTCAAAATGTAACAGAATTTGATTAGTATTGACCAGCTAGTGATTCTTTAACAACAATCAACTTTTGATACTCACTTCAGTAAGGAAGAACAAGACGCTGGTACACAAAATACCCAGTGTAATGGGTGATAAAAGACTTCTGAAAAATCTTGAGGAAGATGTTCATCAGAATTGTCCAGAAATGTCCTGAAAAAAAACCAAATACTTCTGAATTACATGGAAGAAAATCCCTTCAGATCACTACTACTAAATACATACAAACACACAGAAAATCCCTTAAGACAAATAGTACTAATATGCATACGCATATATGACTGCAAATTTCTTTATGTACTGTTAAAAATGTCTAATATATCTTATTTATATTCACTCTTTGAAATTTAGTTTCTAGCACTGTTAGTACTGTTAAAGCAGTTTTCTTTGTATTTTCACTCCTATATAGCATATTTTCAAACTACATTCGAAAATGCATTGAATGAGCATTATTCTTCAGTCATTCATTTCTATAGCCCTTTTCTTTCTGCATAATACATGCATCATATTAACAATACTTTTATCATAATCAAGTAAAATATCTTTTTTAATTTTAATGGTTCTCTTTTGATTAACATTCAAGTACTTACAGTCTTTGGATTAAACTGGGCAAAAAAGTTGAACCAGAAGCTTTGGAACTTCACTGGTTTGTAAGAACTAGAATGCTGGTTGAAAAAGGTACTGTTTTCAAATATAAAGACTAGTGAGGAATTAGCTAAGCTAATTTTATGTCACTTCTGCATTACTTCTCTCACTTAAAGGATGTGAGAGGCAAAAAATCAGATGTGTTCAATTCAGTGATACTAAAAATTAACTGGTTTTATTAATTAATGATATTATGATTATTACATATGTGTATATATGAAAAGGATCATAAAATTTAATATTAGACTTTAATTACTATTTAATAATAAATAATAATAATAGATGTATTAGTATTTGTCAGTTCTGTAGCATACAATGTAGATGCAATAATGTGATAAGAGTGGATGCCCCTTGGGCTCTTACCCTTTTACTCTCATTTACACTGAATACAGTTGCATCAGAGAGGATATAGTTTGTAACATCCATCCTCTATTAACTATAAACAATGATCACTTCTTTTGCACCTTATTTTTTAAAGTAACTTGGCTGTAAACTTTTCATCTTAATAACTTTCCTTCCCTGAAGGTTGTTCCTTTAGGTATCATGTCTGGTATTTTCTAAGTTATATAAAGAAGGCAACTACCTTTAAAAATGCCACTTCTACAGAACTCATTTATGGTATATTTGCTTTACTTTCTGAAGTGATTCAATGTCATTCCCAATTTTGAGTCAGTATTTCTATTGCAGAAAAAGTAGAAGGACATTTAAAAATACCTCAGGAAAAGACATGAGGAGTTTTTCAGGACTTGTAAAAAGAGGATCTTTTTACAAGGCGCTAAAAAAAACTCCTGTCATGATACAGAAAGAATGAGAACGTATCTAAGCATTTAAAACTGGAGACAGAATAGAAACCTTTTGGAATAAAGCCTTCAGGAACTCCCAACCTAAAAGGTAAGATCTCCTCTTTCTTACAGGGTGCTTTGTCACCATGGCACTAACAGAACTTGTGCCTTGTCATTTAATTGTTTAAAGAACTCTTTTTCACAGCTGCAAGTTATCTAGAAGTGTAGCTGCATGCTTATAAGGTCACTGGCTATGAGACTCAGATGAAAGAAGAGAATTATGCAACAAAAAAGACTGGTGTGTAGCTTCTGAACTTCTCCAAAAGATGGATGATTTTTTTAGAAAAAAAAGTTACTAATAAAAAAAAAAATAGTAATAATTTACTACAGATTTCAAAATTATCTTAAGTAAGCAGGGAGTCCCATGGAAAAGAGGAGCTATAAATGGCACAAGTTACTCCTGGGGAGATTCCAACTGGACGCGAGGAAAATTCTTCACAATGAGAACAACCAGCTACTGGAATAATCTCACCAGGGAAGTAGTGTACTCCCCCGAGTTGGACACTGTTACGATTTGTCTGGACAGTGTGCTGGGACATAGCACTTAGTGTGAGGTGTCCCTGCCCATGGCAGGGGGGGTTGGAACTAGACGGTCTTAAGGTCCTTTCCAACCCTAACTATTCTATGATCCTATTCTATGACATCTAGTCTAGGTCAGGCTTTGCCTAAAAAAGTTGGACCACATGATCTTGAGGTCCCTTCCAAGCTGGGATCCTATGATTCCATTGTCATCAGCTGCTTTGGGTTGGAAGGGATCTTAAAGCTCATCCAGTTCCAATCCACTGCCAAAGGCAGGGACACCTTCCATTAGACCATGTTGTTCCAAGCCCAGTTCAACCTTGCCCTGAACACTCCCAGGGATGAGGCAGCCACAGCTTCTCAGGGCAACCTGCGCCAGCGCCTCACCACCCTCATATGGAAGAATGATATCATGGTACCTGAGCATAAGGATTAGCAGCACATGGTGAATTTGTGCTCTTTGTGAATTCATGAAAACCTGAAGATTAAAAATAAGCCAGAGATTGTAATATAGACAAAGGGAGAACCTGAACTACAGAATAATTATCTTAAACAGTAATTTAAACACTGTGAGAAAATTAAAGAAAAACCATTCACTTTATTGTTTCTCATCTGCTGAAATATTTTTCTTAATATAGTAAAGCATAAAGCAAACTTCCTACAAGAAAGCATGATAGATACAGTTTGGGTAGTAACCTAATAAAAAAAGTCTACATCTTTTCTACTGATATTGTCTAAAGTGTTGAGAGACTTCTGGGCTTAAGCAGCTTGCTTAGTGTGATTTTTAGCTGTCTCCTAAGTACAAGAACAGGGAAGGCTTTTGGACTCTGAGGCTTATAACAAAACCTGTACCCAAATTTTTAACTGAAACAGATAATCTGAGGGCCTTAAAATACTTGAAATATTAGAACAACTTCAAATACTATAAAAAAATTAAGTGTCTAATGTTAATATGATAATTCTGGTGCCAGCATTTCTCAGTGTCCACTGCCGGCTGTGTAATTCCTGTCAGGAAAACCCAACTCTGTGCCAGACAGTTTAATTCAACCACTCTTCTAACAGGCATATAATAATAGCTAGTAGGAGATTTGTTTTGACTACAAGTTATGTTAAAGCAGCTGCCTGTAGTCTCAAAGCAGCGGATGGCATCTGTGAAAGTATTTAATACCACAGCAAGTTTCCAGTTTCATTCTTCAGTAGAGTATGACAAGGTGAGAATTGATCTTGTAAGCCTCAGTGCAGGTGTGAAAAAATGAGATGCAAACAAGATATATCCTAATGGTATTTCCTTGGAGACTTCAAATGATTTAGCTCTATATCAGGAATAAACATGACTAAAAAGCAACTTCATGAATTAAAAATCATACATTAAAATTAAGAGAAATATTTTCAGTTATTACAGTTGAATGACAGATATCTTTACCCAACAGACAGCAATTTTACCAATAGCATCTCAAAATTATTCTCTCATAATTCAAGTAATTTACCTGATTTCTTGCTGAGAAAGTAAGACATGATAATTCATAGCATGGAAACATAAATAGGTGCATCCACCTTACTCTTAGTATCTTCCCTAACAGAAAGATTGTCATTTCCCACTCAGTACAGAAGACTAAAGAATACAGAAAACAAACCACAAGAACGTATCTGCTCCAATATGAGCAACCCTCAACCTGGTGCAGAAGACAGTCTCTTTTCTGAAGTCATAAATGGGTCTGTTGTACAGCATATTGCCAGCCTGCCTCTGGATGATTTAATTTTGTAAAAATAATGAATGAAGAACAGCATTGGATTGCCCTACAGAATCCACAAGCAGGATGGAAACTCTTAGATCCACTGAGAAAAACCACAGCTACTTGAACTGAGTAACTCACAACCTTGCCAGTGAGTAAGACTATGATAACTGGAAATTCTGAGGAATGAAAATTCTCCCTTTTTTCAGAGGTTTGGGTAAGTAGCAAGAAAATAGCAACACCTAGTAGTTTTGGGGAACACATCCTGGAGACTGCTGTTGCTCAAGAGGTTCTTCAGCAACCTTGACAAAAGCAGACAGACATCAACAGACATTTAGGACATTTGCAGGTGTCACTAAACGGAGGAAAGCAGGTATGGTAGGTAACATAACAAATGGTAGAGTGCCAAGTCATGCACGACTGGGCCAACAGAAACTCACAAAGTTCACTGAGATAAAATGCAACTTTTTTGCTCCAGCAACAGAATTATAACAACCTTGGCTAGGAACAGACTGCCTGAGTACCAACCCTTCCCAACCCCAAGCCTGGGGTTTATAGGCAGCAGGGTGTTGAAATGAGGCAGTATATTGTTACTAGAAGCAATGCAAACCATACACTGGGCTGTATAAGGAATATGGCAAGCAAACTAAAGATTGTGATGCCTTACCCTATGTATTTTTCCCAGCTGTGGGTCCTACAGCTCAAGGAGGATGTGATGAAACTGGAAGGGACTAGACTGCATCATCTATGATGAAAGGTTGAGGGATCTAGTCTTCTTTACACTGGTGAAGAGGTGGCTAAAGGGTTGAGTCATCTAATGGCAGCCTACCCAGAGTAATTACACAGACAACACTGACAAGCTTTTCTGAGAAGGGGCTGGTGAGATACGGCAAGTCATAGCCAGCAGCTTTGAAGGTTCACACTAGATATTAAGCAATACTCTGCAGCAAGGCAGTGCAGCCATGGAACTGGTTTGCTCAGAGAGGCTGTAAAATCTCAAGTCCCAAAGGATTACATGGGTCAGCTAACACAGTTATGTCTGACTACTCTTGGTGATTATGCTGCTTGGAGCAGGAGGCTGGACTAGATGACCTCCACCAACCCTTTTCAACCAACAAGTCTACTACACTAAAGCTATTTCAGGAAGGCCAGAGAACAGTGAAGGAAAATGAAGCACAGAAAACTGAGTGAGTATTAAAAACTGATGAGTCAAGATTCATGGGTGAATTTAGGACTGGGTCTAAGAAGCCTTGTCATACATAAAAGAAACTTTAAGTGGCAGCAGAATGCAAAACACAAAATCACAAAATTAGGAAGGAGAAAGCCAGAATCGCTTTATTTTATGTTAAGGATATTATTAATTTTTCAGCACCCTTACTATTTCATTGCATTTTGATAACATAATAAAGAATCTTGAATAATTTTAATTCTCTGGAAGCAACAGTTTATAATAGAGCATCTCTAGTAAGCTGGAAACGAACCAGTCACTTTATTGTCTATCACGTTAGACAACTTTCTCATAATTTATTTATCATATCATATTTATCATTTTATTTATCATACAATTTTTTATTTATCATATTAGACAAATCCTGGAAAACAATGTTCTGCCCTCACCAGTTTTCTGATTACAGAAAACTTTTGCTGGCAGTCCAAAGATTAATTTAAATCTAGGCCCTGCAGTAAAATAAAAGTGAGCATGATAGATTTAAAAGAAAAATCTTTATTTAAATTCCAGTTAATCTTACAAATGTTTTGAGAGATACAGAGTCAAGCTAAACAATGGAAATTTTGATTACATATCTGTAATTGTAAAGAGAACTGATGAAGGATTAGTTCCCTTTAAAATCATAAGGAGCTTCTAAATTTGTTATTGATAGATTCTTAACATGGTGAACTACCCATAACTCAGTAAACAATGGAGCTAGGAATTCAACATAAAATTCAGTATATGAAAGTGTTTCCAACTGGATTATGATCATTCAAGAAGTTAATCTGTTTTTTCTTTTTATCTGGACAGTGGGTTAGGTTAAGGTTACTTACAATATTGGCTGTAATGAAACACACAATATAAAAGAACTGTTTTGACAGTGAAGTCTCACAGGTTTTGAAAACAGAACTTTTGAATTCACAGTTCATTAAAAATGCCCCTTTTTACTTACACAAAAGCATGTACTTTGTAGTAAATTAAATGAGCTGCTACATCCTGTGCATGTCAAGTTCCTGATCTCTAGAAAATCAAATTATGATATTGAAATTTATATGCCTAAATACGAAACCTATATGACCAAGTTGTTAGTCTGTAGCATTTTACATAAAATACAAATATGCTGCCTCACTCTCTCCATTGGCACTTTGTTCTGAAACTCACTGAGTTCTCAAGTTAGCACAGTTTTTATAATCATTCCAGGTATAGAGACTCTGTAAACAACATGGATTACTGGAGAAGCCTAGAATAGCTTAAAGGAACAGACTGTACTACATGTTTGTTTTAGTTCATCATTCTAAGGGCTTTCATGAAGAAGCAGAGGAAGTTACAGTTACCACAATGTCCATTCCTGCCTCCATTACTGTCATCACAGCAAGACTACCTAATCTGCTCATGAATCACCTTTTTAATTACTATTTTTTCATAAGCCTGCATTTTATAAGATCAAACATCTAGTTATAATCCACTTCTGCATGCTCCTCAGAGCCTACAAATAATGAAAAGTCTGAAAAGAGCCCACACATGGCAAAAAATATTTAAAGTAGCTTAACTGCAAGAGGTTGCCACCCTCTTATTTGCATAACCAGTATCACCTAGAATATTCTTGTTTAGAATAATAACTAAAATCCAGTTGAATAGGACTTGGCTTTCTTAGTTTGGGGTTTTGTTGTTTTTTCTTAATTTGTGATCTCAGTTTGTATGATACCAAATTTACAGCAGAGTTCTTATCATAGAATCTTAGGATCAGAGAATGGTTTGGGTTGGAAGGGACCCAAATGGATGAGTTAAAGCTCATTCATTACTTACAGAATTATTATGGGATGACAGCAGAACATTCTAATTCACCTGGAAGCTCTAGGTAACTAAATCTGAACTATTAAGTATGAAGATGAAAATCTTTTCAATTGTATAAGTGACTAAGTCCTTGAAAAACCATACCACAGGCTTTAATGCCATAGTAGTAAACGTTTTTAGACAGATAACAACGTTTCCAACACGTCCCCTAACTAAACAGTAAATTGCAAATTTAGAACAGTAATTATTAATGAAATTCTACTATTTATGTTACAGCGGAAATCTAACCAGATATTCACTGCATTCTATATTATGACCAGACAAAATGTGAAGTACAGGACTTGATCCAAAGCTAATAAAATCCCACAAGATATAATTGTGCTTTAGCTAAGCTTGTAAGGAGAAGTTCAAGACCAAATCAAGAAATAGCCGAAGCTTATAAAAATGTGTCAACACTACGCATTGCATTTGTATTTCAACACATTACTCATCTCGTAGATATACCCATGCAAGTTCAAGAACCAATTTTATCTCAAACTGAATGTTTCAGTCATACTCACTCATACAAATTCTTCAGTGGTGAAGTTAAAATAGCTAGCACAGACAGTAGACTATTGCAGTGGCTATGTATTTTATAGATCTTGAGATCTCTGACTTCATGTGGATTCAGAAACTCCTTAACAGAGCTGCAAACTGACCAGAGCATATCTTCAGTGGACATCAAAATTGCTGCAATATCAATTCTGTAGGGGGGAAAAAAAAAATAAAGAAAAAAGTGAAAATAACATTACTAGGGATATCAGGAGAGTGGTAAATTTCAGTTAAGTAGAGCTTTCCTCTGACAACATAAAACACCTAAATCACAGCATGGACTTCAAATTTCATCTTTCATCAGTGATGTAGGAATTATGAGCTACACTGTAAAAATTCAGCCACAGAAAAGTTGTTATTGACACTAGTCAAGAGGAGACTTAAAAAAAATTGGAAATTTCCTCTTTCAAAGGACAATGCCATTAGGCAGAAGCACCTTACTTTCTAAACTACAACTGAATACAATTAAATTTTCATTTATTTATGACAAAAGTATAATTAGAACGTTCATACTATTTTTAAATCCTGCTGGTGCAAAAAAAAAGTAATGATAAGTGAACTAAATCTTCAATTTGTAAAACTTAACCTGCCAGGCAACACATTACGACATGGAGCATTTCTGAGTCAGTAATGTGCTGCTGTTGATACTGGCTGGCAGAGCATCATGGGATACTGGCCTAAACAACAGCAAGAACCCCAAGAACCCAAAGTACAACAACATAATCTCAAAGGCTGACATACAACAGATAGGAAGCAGATGGATAACAGAAAATACACAGTAGGCGTGATGCTGGAGTGAAAAAAGTACCTCATTACCTAAAAGCCAATGGATGCATATGTGATCATCTGCATTTGTAAGGCTCATCTTATTTTTGGAAAAGCTAAGCAAACATGCATTTCTCTATACTGCAGATCAGATCTCTAATATTTCAAGAACCACTGGAAGAAAAGACCCCCTCCAAAGTACCATATTATAAATGAATACGTAAACCCTCTATGATAAAAATATATTGAATTATCTTAATTAAAAAGAATTTTTTCAATTGTGGATGGCTGGATAATTCAATTTACTTACTGACAAATTCAAGAATAGCCTTATTAAATAAAACAGCTTCTCTACAAAATGACAATGTAAAAAATCTTTCTTGTTTAGTATTTTGAAGCAAATTCATATAGAATTGACTAATACCACATTTAAGAAAAAATATATCAATATATATTTTTCATATTTCAGGGTATTTTTACTTTCCAGGAAATTTATAGCATCTTCCAGGAAAACTCTCTGTACCTAAAGATACAAAAATAGAATATATGTCTGCTGAGTGTGTCTCATTTCCTATAAACAGACAAGATAGGAAATGCACCAATTTATTTAACACACAACATTTCATAGAAAGAGAAAGGACAGAGGTAGGGTAAGCTTCCACCTGGAGACACCTGCTTTAGTATTTCTTGAAGAGACCCTCCTCTCTGGCAAACTGTAAGAATCCCAGCAAGAACTTCCACATTCATACTTCCTAAAACAACAGAAGGAATAGCCTCTTTCTTCTCCCTCCTTCTGTATCACTGGCTTCTTTCTGGCAAATGTTCTGATGTGACCTTCTAGCTCTTCCACTTGAAAAACCCTATGTAAACCCAAATTCTATTGGAACACATGGAGTTTTCTTCATGAATCAGTGATTTCAAATCCTGATGCTGCCAATGCTGCCCACATTTTCCGTTGCGCCACTACTCCTCAGTGCACTGTTTATCATGAGGCTTTCAAACCAAGTAAGCCGCTTATGGAACCATTTCACCAAGAGTTCAAAAGAGGTCTTTGATTCTGCCCAGTTTAGTGTATGACCACCAAATATACTGATATACACAAAATATATTGAATTCAAATGATGCCCAAGTAAGAAACTGTGTCTATCCCCTCTGCTGTGTTCATTAACACTTAAATTTGAATCAACAAAGTGCGCAACAGAAAACTAAGACTTACTTATCCATTAAAAACGTGTATTAAGTATACAACCATTACCTGATTTGTGGTGCTCTCTTGTAACTGGGACAGGCCTGACAATATCTGGAGGACAGAATAGACAAAGATTCCTCTAGTACATCTGTAAGAATCTCCTGGGCTGTCTTGGGGGGTAGAATAGTCCATAGATCATGATGAAGAGCACAGCAGAAGTAATGCCACATCTGGACAGAGAATGAGCATCTTTCCCCCTAGCAAAACCACCAATAAATAATAAAAACACACCTTCCAAATGTCAATTTAGTTCCTGTAAGTCTAATTAATTCAATCTGAAAGAAAATAAATTAAAAGTTTCAGGCACATAATGACCAAAAAGTGGTCCTTGACAAGTTGTGAAACTTCTTTATTAGCAAGAAAGCTCATGTTCAATTTCAGTTACAAAACTAGAGCTCTGCCACAAAACCAGACTACAGCATTTACCTCTTATATCCTTAATTAACCTATTCTCAAAACCCACTGTGTTTTAAGATTAGTTTAAAAACACATACAGTATTCTGTACTGACTATAACAGTCAGAGGAATTTAATATAGCAGTTTCTTTGTCCTCAAAAGAAAATAATAATTTAAATTACTTAAGCATACCTATTTCAACAAACTCATAATTGCTACACATAACCATGATTACAAAACATCGATTATATATGATGGAAATGCAGTGAGAGCAGAAAAATATAACTGAACAATTAAAATGATAATAAGAGATGTTCAGAATTTTTTAGTAAGATTAATTTTCATCTTATAATGTCAACTCATTGAAACAAAACAGTTTCTAGGAAGGCATCAGCATCAGTATTAATATTTCATTATTTATACAGAACCACTCCAATATGATACAGAGATAAAGACAGAGGAGTCAAACTCACATTGGTTAATCCATAACATCTCCCAGTACATGATTCAAATCACATCTAAATATTTCAACTAGTATCTATTCAAAAGATTCTATTATTCTCTGCCCATAGTATGGGGGGTTAGAACTATATGATCCACCCGAAACCATTCTATGATTATGATAAAGCTGTGTCAGAACAAAGACTTGAATCTTAACTTGAAAAATTACAATGGAGTTGAGAAATATTTTAAGAATTTGTTGATATTTTAGCATTATCAAAAATATAAAATAACCCCATGAGTTTTAAAACACTGTAAGAATTTGATATGCATTCTCTAATAATAATAAGCAAAAAAAAAAAAAACTGTCTTGCTTTTTTACACACACCGCATGAACAGATTATTGGGAGTTTTCATTATTCAGTGGATCTCTGCCATAATAATCAAAGCGTATTTTATATTAAAAACGGGTAAATTATGACAAAGAGGGGAAGTACCAAACTCTAAAGCAGAAGAGAGAAATGTAATACAGAGAAGTTTCAAGACAAAATTATATGCCTACTTTTCTTCATACCTACAACCATGGGAATCTTATAACTGTTTTAACCATATTTCAACTGAGAAATCAAACCAAATCACTCTGGTATTTTGAACAACGAAGCACTTGACAAGTGTTTCCACACAGGTAAAATAGGATTGTCTTATATTGTTCAAAAATTGATATAATAAAATTATGGACATACTAAAATAATTTTCTGTTTTTCTTGTGTGAAATAAAATTACATTATTATAGCATGATATACTGAAAAAGTACAAGTTTAATTCACAACTCAACTCATAACTCCATAGCTTTACATAATTCAAATGCTGAAATATTTCTGTAAGGTGGGGTTTCTTAGACACATTACCATGACTATTCTTGGGGTATGTTCCAGTAGAACTTGCCAGAAATAAATCCCTAACCCTACCTCACAGACATTTTGCTAACATTTGCCTTTCTTTCTAAAAACATTACAACTGTTACAGAATAAATTTACCAGGTGAAAAATAATTAGTTTGAACGCCTAATGGAAGCTAATTTATTTAGTTCATAGAATCATAAAACGGTTAATTTACAAAAAAAAAAATAAATTCAAAACCAATGCAGTCTTAGCACCCAGAAATATAATTCTAAACTGACTATTTATTTTTTTTTTAAGTTACTGAATGTTGGTGAGTTAACCTTAAACACAAAATGCTTCACTTTCTCTGTTTTATTCAGTCTAAAGCAGTAAATTGAACAATACACATTTTCTAACATTGTACCTCTATCACAGAAGCAACAGTGTCACTGAAGATCTAAATAAGATTCGTTCCTTTTCTGACCTGTTTTTCAATTTGTTGCCATTTCTACTGGTAAACATCTGCTATTTTTGCAGGCTTCATTTTATACAAACAGATGTGAACTTTTATTTAGTTTACATATCACGAAACAAGTAGCTGTGCTTTATTGCATAAGCCAGTCAATATTATGTTTGAACAGACAATTCTTTATTCATTGACTATTAGAAAACGTAAGTTCTCAAAGCCACAGCAGATGTTTGCTACACTAAAGGCTCCCTTCGGACGCCTAAGCTGGAATGCTGGCCAGTGACACAGTGGGTGTTCAGTGTACCGAGCCCAGAGTTTCCCTCCCTGGCAGCTCAGACTCCAAGTGTTGAACAGGAACTGCTCTCAGAGGTCAGCTCACATCTCACACCACCATCAATTCACTACTTGTATCTCACAAAATCTCTTCTTAACTCTCCTAAAAGGCTTTCAGAACTTTTGGTGATCTCACAGTGATTATAATAGTAATGTGTTCACCCTCTAATTATAACTGGTCTTTTGGCTTTTAATCCCGGTCCCGCATTGAGTTAGTTATGAAAATCAAAAATATATTTTAATTTTTTTATTTATTCTTATTTTTAAAATGCAGCAAATTCTTTTACAGAATGTAATAACCATTTGCTACCAATCTTGTTCTTCTCAGATATCACCATTGTACAAACAAACTAATAAATGGATATGGAAACTGCAGTTCTCTGTAATCAAACACAGACACTGTCCCCTGCCCTTTCCTCCTTTCCCTTTGTCTTTCAGTGGGTTTGGGTTTTTCCTGGATGACTTACACAAGTAATTCTAGCAGTCTTATTAATCAATATGTCATTAGTGGCGTACAGAAAGGAAGGCTATCACATATTCTTTTTAATACCAGTTGAAAGTCATCTATTATTGGGGAAAAAGAAGAGTAACTTATGTCATTCTTCAAGTGTAAGATTGCCATTTTGATTGTAATCAAGTATGCAAGACAAGAATGAGGAACTCACAAAAGTGCAAGATATGTTCCAACTGAGGGAGGAGGCACTTGTACCAGAGCCTGCTTTTGATGAGTGGCAAAGTCTTCTGGCACCTGACTTGAAGCTACTCTTGTTCTGTGAGCCTCACGCTTCCTGCAGAGCTTAGACCTCAGAAGGAGCCACCTCTCACCGCTAGGAGTTTCAGTAGGTTGTTGCCTCCATAACAATCAATAGGTCTTACACCAACCTCTTTCATTTGAGATGCCTACAAGAGCACAATGAAAGTAGTGGCTTGTTAGCGTTGTGTCTCTTGCAGGCACCCTGAGCAGATCATGGTCCACGCTTGGGCAATGGTCCATGGTCCATGGCCCAATAAAAAGCACAGAGTGATGACATAAAATTATATCCCAGCAATACAGAGCTGACATGCCAGCTTTCTTCATCCCTTTCTACACACATCAGTTCTGACCAGTGATGATAAAAATGTTTAGCTAATCTATACCCTTTTTTCTTGGGACAGCTATTTCTGACAATTAGGTTTCCTCCACAGTGAATAGTTATTGGCCCCTTAATAAACAGGACATGGCACCATATGGTGAAGTGAAGATCATGTCATGAATTTTGAGTTGCCAGAAGCTGCTAAATTTCTTACCTGATCAACTGAGGACATCTGTGCTCACATTCAAACAAAAGTAAAATTCTTGTTTACTTATCCTTCAGAGGTGGGCATTTTGGTAATTACGCATATTAAGGTCTGCAACACCTGTCTAGCACAGATTTCTGTCACTGACTCAGGAGCTTTTATATTACATCTGTAGAATACATGCATCACACAGACTTTTCTCTCATGTAAGAGCTGTAGAAAACAGTTAACAAAACCACTTTAATCCTCTCACACAGCAAATGATATAAGGAAGACAAGGACGTTGGCTCCAAGAGATCTCAGTTATTCATGATAAAAAAACATATAACACTTCCACTTCATCCAGAAATTAAGTGAAAATAATTTCAAACAGTATATGTCAGCCTATGTCTCCATTTGAATGGAATGAAGAAAAAACCCCAATAAATGCTAATTCACTTGATGGTTTTTTTTCAGAGAATCATTAGGAGGTTTTTAGCAGGTTTTTTTTTTCACAGAATCGTTAGGGTTATTGTTTAAGACTAGATCTGTGACTTCAAAATGCAGATGAAATGGCAGTGGTTATCTCAGAAATATACTGTTGAATAATGAAAGTAACTATATTGATGGTCTGTCTTTGTTATAGTCTTCACTTACCAAAGGTAAAAAGGGGAACTAGTTAAAAAAAAAAAGAAGAAAAAAAGCAAAGAATGAGATTTAAAATTTTCAAGAGAAAACCTGCTTTCGTTTTCATATGTCATGCTTTCTGTAAGAAGAGTTAAAATGACTTCTCAATGTCTTCTTGAGTTCTGTATAAATGTCTTGAACTTGACAGAATATTTTATTAAGCAAATGACACAAACACTCCATCGTAACAATTTATCTTATCTTTAAATGCTTATGTGTTCCTACATCATTCCTACAGAGGCATTTGCCTGCAATAATATATATTTCAAAGCAGTAAAATCCAATAATCTTTATGTAAAAATAATGCTGATCTTATGCTTCTAATTAATTAGAGAGCTGGCAACCAGTAAAACACATTTTATAAAAGGGAGGCACAATAAACTTAACCTCACACCTCATAAAAAGCTTTGTAGTCATCCCAGTGGTGGCTCTCAGCATCCTGTAAAATGCTTGTAGCACAAACTCTGACACAGTAGTTCGTAACTTGAAACTGAAGAACACTGATGAATTCCTGATATTGTTGGACAGGCATGAGGGACAGGGGTCTGTTTAGAGAGAATGATCAAAGAGGCAAAGATTGAAAGGCTGTGCAGTAGGAAGTAACAATCCCCAGTTATCAATCACTAATTTCCTCTTGGTCTTGAAGGCTGAAACTAATATTCACTTTTGAAAAGTATCTGGTCTTTGTTTCACAAACTCTTTAAATATTCTGCTCATCTCCAAGTTCTCATTTAACCACATTACTGAAAAATATATTCATTCTATTTTCTGAGATAAAAGTATGTTTGTCATTCAGTTACTGGGAGATTCTGGATTGAAACATAATTGCATCAGCATCGAGTGTGATAAAAAAAAACATAAACAGAGTCCAGAGATTACTTTTGGTAGGCATGTACTAAGGAACTTTCATAATACACATGCGTAGAATTATTGAGCAGTATTTTGGCTCAAACTTCCCATTCAAAAAGATATATTTCATGCAGGAGAGAGTAAAATATCAAAGGGAAAGCAGCTCAGCAGTGCAGACAAACCCTTAGAAATCCTACATTCCTTGAAAACTGCACCAGTTCAGGTGTCCCTCCCATTTTCTGCTTTTAAATTACATGTGTCAGAAAAACATGGACTAATGAAGAGATTCCTAGTATCTTAAGGCAAAATCTCCTAAAAGCAGAGCAAATGTAATTATATTGCCTCCCAGGGCAAACACTGACATAGAATTTACACTAGTACTTCATATCATCTCCAATTTTTATTCTGTGTGCAACAAAAAATTAATTCTAAAACTACAGTGGATGTATTTTTTCACCTATTTGGATACAGATGGTATAAGGTAAAAACACAGGAATGTATATTTATACTGTCCTCTAAGATTGGTATGTGCTAAAACAGATTTTATGAAAATTCAGCTATTGCAAAGGTCAGAAAAGGAAATTAATGCCTTAGCCTTTTATTTATATGATAGCAAAGAACATTCAGTTCACTGGACAATCCTATTTACTTAAGCTTAATAAATAAAAAATATAGATCTGCAAATCAAATGCAGATCTTAAACATACAAATAATTTGTTTTGCAATAGATGCTTTAGATTATCAACGGCTTTGATTCAGATCTTTCCGTAAGTAACACACACAGTAACTGTGCTGAAAAATATGATGCAATTTGGAAAACTACCACCATACTGTATCATCCAAAATGGAAAGAAGCCCTGTATTATTTATGTTTGAATTAAACCATTATAAGACAAAGGGACTCACTTTTTGCTTGTTTCTCTCATTAAATTGCTATACGCTGTAAAATGCTGAGAGACATATATTGCTGTGGAAAGGGCAGCATACAAGTCTTGCAGGGGAGCTTTGGAGGGGACGTCTTTGCTCTTCTCCTCCAGTCTTGCCAGGACAGCTGTTGCCACTTTGCTACAGGCCTCCACAAAATTTGCTCTAATTTCCTGGAGGGAATCATCTCTGCATGCCAGAGCCAATGGAAGTAATGTGTCAAGTTCTTCCATGATGTCAGAACAAAACTGAGAGAAATAAACATGGCGTTGTTATTTGTATTCTGACAGCACTGTTTAATTTATACACACTAGGGTCAGATTCTTGAATAATGAAATTGGCATAAAGCATAAATATATGAAATCAGCTTTAAAAACATTTCATTCTGTTATTCAGGGGTGAAGCGTTTATCTGCAGTAAATGAATTATTATTTCATTCCTTCTTGCTTGAAAGCTGCATAATATATGATGAGAAAAAAAAGAAAAACATCTTTGCTAGTAGTGCCTTCATTTTGTTCATGATTTCATGAGATGCACATTCAAAGCATAACATTAATTCCTTGTAAACAAAAATGATTTTCTCAATTTATTTTTGAAAATACACATATTTCTTAATACTGAATTTGAAAACAAACTTATAATTTCCATCTAAATTCATACATTGATCTCCCTAAAATTATCTCCCAAAGCTTGTGTCTTTTTGAGCAAATGTTCATTAACAGTATTTAAAATTTGCTAGAACAGTTGCAAAGCTTACTAAATAAAAAAATCCTCAAAATTTCAAACACATATCTCCTTAGAAAAACAATTTAATTAACCATCATAAATGACCTTTCAGCCAAATCAGGAACTCTAATTTGGCCATATTGTTGGTTATGCTGATTAGTTAAATGGCATGTCTAAAGATAGGAATACAGGAAATCCCTTTATAGCTACTCTTCAAAGCTTTCAGCATTTTCCCATCAAACCACTTGGTAACAGAGCTGATACTAATCAGAATGTTTTAGAACTTTTTGGATGAAAAAAATCATGCCGGCAAAGTTTAAAAGTTAATTCTTTCAAGTATAAGACTATGGGCTATTGTATAAAGCTCTGCTCAGCCTCATATTATAATGCCTCTCACTTCCTTTTTAATTCCATTTATATAAGATATAGAATATTAATGGCACTGTAAGTACTTCAAAGTGTAGACAGCAAACAGCCTTGGCATTCTGTCTCCTCTCAAACTTCAGATCTTTTGATACCTGCCTTAGCAATTCGTTTTGGTTGCTCCTCCTGTTGGACTGCTCTGCAGGACTCCCTCATTTGCTGGTTGTTTACAAGACTCATTGCATAGCTTGCAGCTGAAAACTCTTCTTTCTGCTCATGTTGAAGAATTTTAGCTGAAAAATCCTCTATTGCTATTGTTATACAGTGAGCCACAGAAGAAGAAAGGTCTTTAAATGCATTTCTCCAGCCAAAATTCAGCAAAATAGGCTGAAACACATATTTATATTAAATCAATCCAAATTCATTACTGAGTGTTATTATTGTCTGAAACTTATACAAACATTCATAATTAAACTAAAGGACACCGTCACCTTCTGAAATTCATCTGAGTAACTTAAAATTTGCTTGCCTTGAAATCGTATTAGATGTAGTATATACACTCAACAAAAGTGAACATAGAATCATAGAATCATAGAGTAGTTAGGGTTGGAAAGGACCTTAAAATCATCAAGTTCCAACCCCCCTGACATGGGCAGGGACACCTCCCACTAAACCATGTCACCCAAGGCTCTGTCCAACCTGGCCTTGAACACCGCCAGGAATTGGAGCATTCAACAACTTCCCTGGTATCGTGGTTTAAACCCTAGCCAGACAGCTTGTTGACTCACTTCCCCTCCTTCTTGACCTCCCCCTATTCCCGGAGGGATGGAGAAGAGAATCAAAAAGAATGCAACTCCCACGGGTTGAGATAAGAACAGTTTAGCAACTAAGGTATAACACAAATCGCTACTGCTACCACCAATAATAACAATGATAAAGGAAATAACAAGGGAAGAGAATACAACATCTCACCACCAGCCAACCAATAACTCGCCCCACCCCACCTGACCGAGCACCGACTGATACCTCGTCCAACCCTGCAGTGCCCTAGCCCTTCTGGGTAACTCTCAGTTACATCCCGGGCATGATGTGCTGTGGTATGGAATACTTCTTTGGTAAGTTTGGGTCAGGTGTCCTGTCTCTGCTTCCTCCCGGCTTCCCCTCCTCTCTGGCAGAGCATGAGGCTCAGAAAGTCCTTGGTCAGACTAAAACATCAGTGTTATCAGCTCTGTTCCCAGGCCGAAAGTCAAAACACAGCGCTGCACCAGCTACTAAGAAGGAGAAAAATGACTGCTGAAACCAGGACACCTGGGCAACCCATTCCAGTGCCTCACCACCCTTACAGGAAAGAATTTCCTCCTTATATCCAAGCTAAACTTCCCCTGTTTAAGTTTTAACCCGTTACCCCTTGTCCTATCACTACAGTCCCTAATGAAGAGTGCCTCCACAGCATCCCTATAGGCCCCCTTCAGATACTGGAAGGTCTCCACGCAGCCTTCTCTTCTCCAGGCTGAACAGCCCCAACTTTCTCAGCCTATCTTCATACGGGAGGTGCTCCAGTCCCCTGATCATCCTCGTGGCCCTCCTCTGGACTTGTTCCAACAGTTCCATGTCCATTTTATGTTGAGGACACCAGAACTGCACACAATACTCCAGAGTATGCACAAAATACAGCAGAGTGGGCACTGAGAGAGAGGGCAGGATCACCTCCTTCGACCTGCTGGTCATGCTCCATTTGATGCAGTCCAGGATGCATAACAATATTAAATTTGTCATCAAATGTTAAAGAAATAAATTTATAAAAGATTCCATTTAAACAAGACAGCTTTTTAAAACCCATACTTCATCTTTACATTTATAATCTTTAACAGAATGCGCTTAATCAAGTATAACCATTTTCAACAGTTTAACAAGTAATCCAGCAATGTATACCCTGTAATAATTTTCACTGCAAGGCAGTAAGTGGATGGTACTAACCATGAATATTAAAGGAAAACTTGAAAACTTTTCAAGAAGCTGGTTTTAACACAGCCACACTGGTTATCACTTTTCTAGAGCTGCATTTAGCAAAGATTAAAATGTTTAAATAGACATTTCTAGGTTTGAGACAATGCTGGCTTTTATTATGGTTTAGAACAGTACCCTGCCTTCTATAAATAGAGACCTCTGAAGTTATCTGAAATGTAGCAGTTGTGAGAAGAAGACACAGTAGGACATTATTACTTTTGCACTAATCTTAATTTGCATTGCTTATCTGACATACAGCAGACTTAAACATTACTGGAAGTGGCAAATTGAGAGTTGCAACACTGTAAGAGAAATATTTTAGTGACATAAGACATACAGTAAAGATGCCCACCATAAACACATAGTAGGACAAAAGAATAAAAGGATTCCTAATGAATTGTGGCTATAATACTAAATTGGAAGACAAGGAAGGGCTATTAAGTGAAGCCCTTCCAGCTTACTCCAATTTAGAAGTTGCCTTCTCCTTCCGTTCTCTTTCTCCCTCCCGAAAATGAACTCCAGCGAGCACAGAGACAACTTCCATGGATGCCCACTCTTTCATTCCCTCTTTCTTTCTTTTTTTTTTTTTTTTTTTTATCTTGGGTCAAGTAAAGCTCAATTCTCTCAAAAATATTGTTCTTTGCAACCTGTAATAGGAACATTAGTCTCACAAACTGATTCAGCATACATTCTAAAAAGTGATTTCACCATTAAAATTGAGCCATTAGGAAATTAAATTCCACTAATGTAAAATAACAGACTTCTTAGAGCATTTAGGTCCCAAAACCTCAAAAATTAAAATGTGTTTAGTAGCAAATGTAAGCCAGACTAGTACTTACTCTTGCATATACATTCTACAAAGCATAGTGCTTACTACACAGCTGTTTGTTGGCATCAAAGAAACTGGACATTATGTGAGTACTTAGTCCTATTTGATCACGATGATCAAATGCTAAGAACTTTATAGATTTTTTTTAAGATTCTGCTGTATTTAAGAATGCATTTAATTCTGAAGAAAGCTATAATACTTTGGCATTTTTTACTGTTTTGTCATGAGGTATCTCATATTTCTGATGTTAAATCCATACTATCATTAAATCTTAAATAACAACCAATTCTTCATGAATGCTGTAAGATTTCATTCCATTGTAACTGAGACTTTGCAGCTAAAATTAATCACAGTAGCTAAATAATGAAACTATGACAATAGGTGTTTACAATGAACATGGTGACAGACTACACTGGAGACACAGACAAAAGAAAATCCCCTACAAAGTGCAAGACTCTTTTCGTACTCACCTCTTCTACCTGAAGTAACTGTTCAGGAAGCACACTGGTTTCATTTGCTCTACTTTCTCCTATTAAAAGCTCCCCACTAGCTTTCTTCAGAAATCCTGCACAGTATGATAAAAGGGATCAAAGTTAAGATTAATTCTGTAGAAAAGTCAGCAGCCTACAACACATTCTGATATATCAATATGAAGCATAAAAAAACCCTCAACAAGACATAGGGGAACACTAATGATGAAGTCAAATTTAAGTTATACACAGCTCCTTTTATATAACATGATGAAATCCACATCCCATTGTATTCAGATTTTATACAAACATACATATAAATGTGTAAAATATAGTTTCTTTTGTCATTAATTCATTTTTATACTGATGGTGCAGTCACCTATTCCTAGGGAGAACAGATAATGTTAGAACATCTATGTAGAAATTGATTTCTATTCTTTCTCCAATATATTATATGAATTACACACTAATATATTTTTATAGTTTTTACTTATTTGAAAATGCCAGTATGATAAGAATAAAAAGTTAATTAATACAGTTATTTTTGATAAGCAAATAATGGCAATAGAAACAGGATCAAGTGAAGCTCCTTAAGAGGGGCTGGTATAAAGCTCACTTAGAAATCATAGAATCACAGAATGGTTTGGATTGGAAAGGACCTTAAGATCATCAAGTTCCAACCCCTCTGCATGGGCATGGATGCCTCACATTAGACCATGTTGCCCAAGGCTCTGTTCAACCTGGCCTTGAACACTGCCAGGGATGGAGCAAGCACCACTTCTTTGGGCAACCTGTGCCAGGGCCTCACCACCCTCACTGTAAAGAACTTCTGCCTTATATCTAACCTGAACTTCCCCAGTTGAAGTTTAAACCCATCACCCCTTATCCTATTGCTACAGTCCCTGAAGAGTCCCTCTCTGGCACCCTTGTAGGCTCCCTTCAGATACTGGAAGACTGCTATGATGTCTCCACGCACCTTCTCTTCTCCAGGCAAATCTTGGAGTAATGGGAATACCACCTCAGTTTTGACAAGAACAAATTAGTATCTCAGATAAACACCACTTGCATTAGCATTTCAAGTAATCCAGGTGGTTTCTGGAGTGTGTTGATGATAACCTCCTCCAAGCGACAGAGGAACCAGTGAGGAGAAGTAAGTAGTCTGCAGGATCTCATACTCACCAAAAAGGAAGGGCTTGTTGGGATGTGAAGGTCAAAGGCAGCCTTGGCTGCAGTGACCATGAAATGATTTTATTCAGGATTTTGAAGGCAGGGAGAAGAGTGAAAAGCAAGCTCACAACCCTGGACTTCAGGAGAGCAGACTTTGGCCTCTTCAAAGATCTGCTTTGAAGTGTCCCATGGGATGTCCTCAATGGAAATGGGGCCTGAGAAAGCTTGTTAATATTCAAATATCACCTCCTCTGAGCTTAAGAGTGGTGGGAAAAGAAAAAATGCCAGGAGGCCTGCATGGATAAACAAGGAGCTCCTAGCTAAACTCAAACACAAAATGAAGCATACAGAGGGTGGAAGCAAGGACAAGTAATCTGACAGGAACACAGAAACATCCAAGCACCAAGGAACAAAGTTAGAAAAGCCAAAGCTCAAATGCACCTAAGGGATGTCAAAGGCAAAAAGAAAAGCTTCTATAAGTACACAGGTGACAAATGGAAGACTAGGGAAAATGTAGGCACATTGCTAGTGATACAGGGGATCTGGTTACACAGACATGGAAAAGGCTTTGCTTTCCCTGCTTCGCCTCAGTCTTTCCGAGCAAGACCAGCCTTCAGGAATCCCAAGTCCCAGAGAGTAATGTTGGAACAAGGAAGATGCATTCTTGGTGGACAGGGATCAGGTGTGGAAATACTCAGGTAAACTGGACATAACATAAACCCATGGCCCTGACAGTATTCTCCTGGAAGTTGTGAGGGAGCCGACATACGTTTTTGCAAAGACACTTTCAATAACCTTTGATCATTCATGGCAAGAGAAGAGTCCAAGACTAGAGGAAAGCAAATATCACTTATACCTTCAAGAAGGGCAAGAAGGAGGACTCAGGGAATCACAGGCCAGTCACCTCACCTCAGTCCCTGGGAAGGTGATAGAGCGGCTAATCCTGGAAACCATTTCCAGGCACGTTATGGACAAAAAATTCATCAGGAGTACTCAGCATGGCTTCACCTAGGGGAAGTTATGCTTGACCAATTTGATAAACTTCCATGAAGAAATGATTGGCCTGGTAGATGAGAGGAAAGCAGCGACTACTGTCCACATGGATTCAGTAAGGCCTTTGACACTGTTTCCTATAAGATCCTGTTATCTGACACAGAGTAGACAAACTCTTGATGTATAGGCTGGATAAGCAGACAGTGAGGTGGGTTGAAAACTGGCTGAATAGCCAACCCCAAGAACTGTGATCAGTGGCACAAAGTCTAGTTAGAGGCCAGTAACTAGTGATCTCTCTCAAGGGTGAATAGGTCCTGTACCATTTAATGTCCTCATTGATGATCTGGATGATGGGGCAGCATGTACCCTCAGCGCATTTGCAGCTGACATCAAACTGGGTGGTGTAGCTGACATACCAGAAGGCCCTGCTGACATCAAAACGCACCTCAACTGGCTGCAGAAACAGGAACACAAAACCCTTAAGAAAATCAAAAAGAAGTGCGAAGTCCTGCACCTGGGGTAGAGCAACTCCAGGTGCCAATATAGGCTGCTGGCCACCCAGCTGGAACACAGCTTTCCATAAGAGGACCTGGCAGGCCAGATGTACACCAAGTTGAACAGGAGCCAGCAATGCGCCCTTCTTGCAAAGAAGTTCATGATATCCTGGGATGCATTGCCAGCAGGGTCAAGGGAGGTGATCCTTTCTCTCTACTAAGCCCTGATAAGTCTATGCCTATCATGTTCAGTTCAACACTACACAAGGCAAGACAGACATGGACATACTGGAGAGTTTCTAACAAAGGGCCATGCAGATGATTAAGGGACAGAAGCACCTCTCCTATGAGGAAAGACTAAGATTATGGGGATTGTTTAACCTGGAGAAGAGAAGGCTCGGGGAAGATCTCATGAATGTACACAAATACTTGAAGGGAAGGTGCAAAGAGGACAGAGTCAGGCTCTTCTCAGTGGTGCTCAGTGACAGACAAGAGGCAGCAGGCACAGACAGAAAATACAGGAGGTTCCCTCTTAACAGCAGGAAACGCTTTTGTTAGGGTGACCAAGCACTGAATCAGGTTGTCCAGACAGACAGTCTCCATCCTTAAGAGATACTCAGAAGCTATCTAGACATGATTCTGGGCAACTGGCTGTGCATGGTCCTGTTTGAGCAGGGGTTGTTGGACCAGCTGACATCCAAAGGTCCCTTCCAACCTCACTCATTTCGTGATTCTGCGAGTCTTATTTGAAAGTAATATGAGACTAAAACCAAAAAAAAGTTATCTTTAAAATCTGTCTCCTAGCATAATCAATACAGATGCAGCTGTTCCTAATTTAATGTATCTCATGTGAAATTAAAACCGAGATGTTTTGTATGAGCAGGTGCTGTCACGCATTGTTAAAGATTATCTTCTAAGCATAAACTTACAGGTCTTCAGTCACCTGAATCTACTGGTAGTACACAAGGTCAAGGTTTAAAGAGCTTTTCTCTTTCTATGAAATACTTAGTATTTGCACATATATAGACTTTCTTTTACCTAAACTGGATTTTATCCTTTCATTAAACAATTCACCCTCTGAAAACGAACACTCCATTTTTCATACACCTATACAGCATTCTAAAGCTTCAGGGATTTTTTGTTACGGGGTATTTTTCTCTTTTCCCCCAGATTTGAGCTGAGAAAAATGAAAGATAAAATGGTCACATACAAAAACAGAAGAGAGTAACCAGGTCAACTAGCTCCCTGATCATTCAACAAATGCTACAGACAGCACCATAACGTTACTGCTTTTTTCAATATCTTTTAATGTATTTTATGATGAAGTTTCCTGTAATTTTCTTTAGAAATTACTCCAGAATGAAAAAAAAGCAAACCATACTTGACTGGATATTTTCCCTCTTTTCTGTTCTGTGCATTCAAACTAAATTTGCCTTGTTTTTTCTTGCCTTGCCTTTCCTTTTTTATAGATCTGACTCTAACTATAAGCAAAACTGAATATCTATATATTCACATTCTCTTATTCTCACTTTTTAAAACAGCTATTTATAACTTGATATACCAAGACATTAAAGGAAATCTGCAACATTTAACTTAAATCCTTGTGTATTCATTGCTGCCTTACCTGTTTAAGAACTTACAGCTGAGATACACAAGTATCTAGCTGATAGTAGATTTGTGTCTCCAGTACCTGAGGCAAAGAGCCAAATGATACTTCCATCAGCATCAGTCATTTTAAAGGTTTCTTCCTTTTTTAAATTAACAGATCTCCCCACCTCCTTTTGTAACTAACAGCCTGAGCACTTATATTGCCCTATATTCATGTACTTTTATCTATGTGCATGCAGGCTCACACACATATAAAACCTTTTCTGGTCTTCCCAAAGAAGCCCCAAGGTCAAGTCTCCTATCTTCTACTGAGTTCCTCTGCTTTCCCAATATTTTCTTTTTCCAAATCTCATATAGGTAGAGTGGCCTTAATCTTCTTCAGTTTAACCTCCTGCTAGTAATTAATTATTTTCATTGATCACTGCACATTAGTCACAGCCTCCCCAAAGCCTCTGCACTTCAGATGCACCACAACCTTCCTCTCAAAAATTGTTTCCAAAGAGACACAAAATAAAAGTGCAGCTTTATTGAAGAGACTGGTGCAGCTGATGTTCTGAAGCTGCTCAGCCCAAATGAGTTTGCCATGGCAGACAGGAATGCAGGCAATGGGACGGAGGAAGCATTCCTACCTAGCCAGCCATGGTTTTCTATACAAATTCCTCGACTCTTCTCCCAGTTATCAAACCTCATATTCCATTTCCACAGATAGACAGAATGCATGCAACCCTTCTCACATGAACCCTTAGAGGAGAGAATGTGAAGAAGCGAAGCAGAAAGAAGCAAATGTCATGAAAGAAGAAGATTGAGGCTGTCCAAAAATTTCTTAGTTTTTC